ATTTCTAGAAAGAGAAGGCAAGAGCCGATTGGTTGCAGAGAAGCATAACCCGCAGGTGGATTACCACCCATCAGTTTAGAAAGAAAGAAGCTAAAGCCAATACTGAACTGCAAAGCTTTTTTTTTTTTATCAGCTTGCTGTACCACTACTGGTTACTTGTATCAGAGTTAATAAAATATGGTATTAAATTGTGGAATGATAACAGCTAACACTTCATCACAGCAGACTGCAGCAGGTAATTAAAATGACTTTCTAGCTGGAAAGTAATTCTTGCTCTCATGTGGGAGTGACAGTCACTGGTTTTTACACGAAGAGACAGTTTTCATGCAAATTCTAATTTTGTAAGGTAAGATACTGCAAAAGTAGAGGGTTGTGAAATAGAGCTCATCTGGGTTTGTAAATTTATACTTAATTATTTGGAAAGAAATAAGATTAAATTATTAAATTGTGTAAATGCTAAGGGAAATGGTGGAAAGATAAATAATGTAGGAGAATTGTTAATATAAAGCTATTCAGTAAAAGAGGCATAATTAATACAATTTGGATTTTATTACATCAATACAAGGAATGTTACTCGTCTTACAGAGCAGAGGGCTGTATACTGGGAAGTAGTTATTCTGAAAAGCAAGGTCACCTGTTTGTTAAATGCTGTTTCCCCATACTGAAAAGGTGAAGCGATTCATGGGTGAAGGAACAGGGGTATAGAAGAAGAGCGGGATTGTATTTTTGTTAAATGAATAAGACCATGACTGAAATATTGCCATCATTTTTTGGTGTCTCTTAGAATGAGTGCTGAAAAGGGGTTCAAAAACATTTGCAGTTCATTAGGTAGAGACATGAGAAGTATGACACATTCAGTTTGCCACAGAGAAGGGAGTTTTCCTGTCCACTATCAATAGAGGGCTAAAAAGTTTCAATTCCTTACAGGTGAAGCATAAAAAAACCTGAAATTTGAATCTTAGTTTCCCAAGGAATTGCTTACGAACTGTTGTATTAATGCCCCATCTTTTGAGACCTCTTGCAGGAGAAGCCATCTCGTCTTTAAAAGGTGCATCTCTGCAAAAGGATGCTCTCTGCTTACACAGAAGTTGGATTAGCCTGGCGTAACAGCAACTTCTGTCCTGAAGTCATAAGGATAAATGAACCAAAGGAAAGGAAATTAATGACTTAATTAGGGGCTTGAAGGACTAGGACATCTTTTCTCTCCCTTTCCCTGTTCATTCCCAGCAAGTGACTTCCCACCAGCTACCTGAGGCAGCTTTTTTCTGCAACACAGCCACGGTGGAGGATGGCAGAGCTGCTCCAGCCTGACCCATCTCGGTGCGGGCAGGGAAATATGCACATGTACATGCAGAAAATAATTTGTGTGTGAATGCATGCATATGAATTTTTTTATTGTTATTGGTATTTTTCAGTGTTTGGGATGGCTTTCTGTTTTTGTAAGTTCAGACAAAAGCCACTGATAAAAAGAAAAGCTAACTGAAGAGAGGAGCCAAGTACAGAAATTTGTTAATGCTTCTAAAATTCAACGAGGACTATAATAAACTGGAATTCTGTGGAGATCTCACCTGGTAACTGTTTGGTCAAAAGTACACTTTCCAAACGCTGCCACATCGTTACTCAAAATGGTTGCGTTCAAGAAATGAGTGTTTTGACTCAGCGTGCAGGAGCTGTTAACTCTTTGTAATGCTTCAAGATTTTCGGAACTTGAAGACAAGTGAAGGAAATCGCTTGTGTTCCTCAGACGTAAATGATGTAGCTCATTTTACCGCAGGCAGAAAATACTGTAGACATTAAATTGGTGTGTTGGGGGTGGGTTGTTGCAGCCGGTTCCCCATCTTTGCTTCCAAGAGCCATCTCTGGAAAAAGCTGAAATGCACTGCAGGATAAAGCCTGCCAGAATACAGATTTGCTATCAGGCAGTTTGAGGTTGTTGGTGTTTTTTCCCCCAGAATTTATTTTGAATAAATGTGGGGGAAGGAGGTGAGCATGAGATTGAGAACGGCGGGAGGGGAAGAAAGGGCGAGCTTTGCCTTGATAAATGGCAGTGTAAGCATCTCATAGCACTTTCTTCATTGCCATGTCTTGAGTTACAGCGTTGCGCAGCAACATACACCAAAAATTGCACCGTGTTTGCTGGTTTTCACATAAAAAAGCAGCTCCTCCGTTGTTGGCTTATTTAATATTGCATTACCTAATTGATTTAAATGTGCTGCGTGGTGGTGTGAGTGTTTTTCACTCCATCCACTGTTTGTATGGAAAATGATAGTGTTGATTGTACTAATTCACTGGAGATGTAGAAGGAGGAAAAATACTGTTCTCGTATAATACGTTTTAGTTACATCCATACAGTTCTACTGAATTAATGACCCTTTTTTTAATGCCGATGTATTTCAGACTGAATGTAGGAGTTGCTTTGCGAAGTGTCACAGTTTTAAGGAATATTGAAGCAAATCGATTTTTCCTGTCATAAGAAGGATTTAATAACAAAAAAAGTATTAGGCAGGTAATATTAGTAAAGTTCTGCAAAGATGGAAGATTTTTAGACTTCCTAATTTTCCAGAACTTTCCAGAAATAACCTTTTTTCCTTACTTGCTGTGCTGAGCCCCTGACCTTGCAGTCGGCACTAGTAGTAGCCCGGCTGACTTCTTACTAAAGGTCTGCTGTGATTCTGCAGGACACTGGCTTTTCTTTGTCCGATTTCAAATTCCCCATTTTGAGTAAGGCTTCTTGTTCAGCGGATGTGGTGGGGCTGGGGAGCACAAGGAGGTAAAAAAGAGATTTTTAGAGTTCTTGATGCCAGCAGCCAGCCGTTTCAGCCAACTTTCAGCCCTGCAGCTCAAGCCTGTGGGACAGGGTGGGTGCGGGCGGCTGTCAAGGCAAAACGTGGCTGTGGACTGGTGGGTTTGCCTCGGATGGGAGGGGCGAGGGGTCAAGGAGCCACAGCACGTTGCAGTTTCAGGTTGGGGCGAGGGTGGATTCTGCTTTCCCAAACAGATTTTTAATTACTGGTGTACCATAGCCTTTTCCCTTTTTCCTCCCTGTAGAGTTCAAACTGGAGATGGTTTTACTGTATGCAACAGATTGACTGAGTAATTACACTGTGCAGCACAGTAAGACAGAAAAATTGCCCTTTCAAAAATACAAAAAAAAAAAAAAGAAAAAAAATGTTTGTTTAGAAATAAAATGGAGGAATAATAGGAGTGGTAAAATAATCCTGTTGCTTTAAGGTAACTTTTAAAAGTAGGAGTAGTAAGCTTAATGCTCTAGCTTTTACCACAGTAAACATACAATTGTAAGCTGATGGTGGTGAATTCTGTAAACGACCTCCTCCATCAACAGAAGTTTGAAAGAGACAGCCCTCATCTGGAAGCCAGCAGTAGCTCAGGACTTTATTAATCGGCACTGCCAGATAAAATCCAAGCGCTACTGTAAGCGATATGAAAATCAAGATTGGCTATAACGTACCGTCTCAAATAGGAGAGCAAGTGCTCCGGAGCTTGGAGAGGCTGAGAGGGCATTGTAGCTTTCCCAACAGCTTTTGAGCTTGAGGTTGAAATGGTGGATACAGATGCGGGTTTCTGCACTAGTTGTAGGAATGTTCAGGAGCTTAAGTTACTAGTGGAATAAACAGAGAAACTGCAAAATTGCTATCGGTATGTCTAACATTTTTATTGGAAAGGTTACAGACAAAGTACTGTCTGTGTTACGTGTTACAGACAAAAAAAAGGTTCATAGAACATGATTTTTCTGTCTGTAAAGAGGTTATGAGAGAATGACCTTATCATAAGGAACAGAAACCTGCCCTCTTCCAAGGGCTGCAACTTGACATATTTATTTCCAGCTTTCATCCTGTGGACGGAGGCAACTGAGTGCAGTCGATGGCTGTGACAGTCATGTGTCTGGCTGCAATTGGGTGACGAGTGTCAGAAAAAGGGAGGGGGGTGGTGCGCAGCTGACCCAGATACAAGCCCAGCAGCCATCCCATGACAAGAAGTCGGCTGCAGAATGACACAGGACAACAATCTCTGGTGCCACAAAATAGCGAGCGCTTTCCAGTTGTGCAAGCTGATGACCTCCACGCTTTTCAGAGCATGTCAGGGCCCTTCCTCACCGAGTGGGAGATTTCCCATGCAGTGACAAGAAAATTCATTCATTTGAATTCAGAAAGCAGTGTGATTAGTAACTCTTTCTTAGTCTTTGTGCCTAGAAATAACTCAGAATGTCATAATGCAAAGTTTCACGGAAGTAAAATAAGCGATATTCTACACAAAATTCAGATCTTTCATTTTTTGAACAGGTTTTAGATACAGCTCAGCTTGATACAGTGTGGTATTTACCAGCCTGGCCTTTAATATTGGATCTGCTTTCCAATTATGCTTCAATTCGTACAACAGTTGCAGAGAGCGTGTGTGGGCGTACATGCAAGAGCGAGATTGATTTTTGTTCTTTAGAAATGTGAAGTCTGCACTAACTATGAAAACCCATCAGAATTTCTAGCACTTAAACGCCATTTCCTTTCTCAGTGTGCTACCAGCATTAAGCAATCTTCACGACATTTCTCTGACAAATGGAGAGTGCAAGAAGTAGAATATTAACACAGATCTCACTGAAAACCAGGCTGCAAATCCTTTCCAGAAGTAGAGAGTTAATGTGAGAGCTCAAATTACGACTTGGAAGCAAATATGTAAGGTCTTAGCTCTATTTTTCAGAAGTACACGAGTGAAAATGGACTAAAGAAAATACACATCAGTCCTGGCTGTTGCTGTGTGTTACAGTAGTCCCTGGTGCCTGGGACAGCAGATGTTGGGCAGTCCTGATTGCCAGCACTTTACACAGAGCATCTTTGTGTTCCTGGTGGTGTTCCCAGCCGCTGTCCTTTTTTGTTTGCTGGATTCCCGAACCTTGATAGTGCTTTGATAGTTACTCTATTTCATATCTGAGAAGTCCAAAGAGTGTTATTTTTGTCTTTCTGACTGTTCATTTCTTTTTTCTGTAGGTTTGAAGACCTATCTGATCTCTGGTCAGAAGGTAAAGGAGCCCCACTGCAGCTGTTCGCAAGCGTTGCTTCCTGGCTTGGAGTCCGGAGATGGAGCCCGGATACAGGGAGCATTGTCAGCCGAGAACACCGGTGACTCGACAAAAACTGTCAAACACGTGGAAAAACCTAAGGTGAGTTCTCGTTTCGAAGGCGAGCAGCACAGATCTCAAACTGTACAAACCAGTGAGAGATGCGTGGATGGGGAGATCTTACAGGTTTGGTTATGCACTGCTTTGTATATTTGTATGTGTATATACACACACACACACGTGTGTGTGTGTGTGTGTGTACATACAGTTACAAAAGCATAGTTTGAGGGACAAAATATTTACAAAGTAAAATGTGTCGCCAGTTGACAAACAATCCCTAAAGTAAGGTGAACGTTTTTTAAAGGTGGTTTCACATAAATAACTATTTTAGTATTTCAGGACTGAGAGGTCAATGCTGCTTTTTCAACGGTATTGATTTTATGGGGGAGTAAAAAATACTTTTTATGCAGCTTCTATGATTTTCTGCTTTTGCTGCACCGTACTTCTGCCTTTCCCCTATTGTGCATGTCAGGTACCTGCGAACCATTTCATGTGAGTCTATAACAGACATCCCCACGAGAAGATAACGGGATTGTTTGTGTGGTGGGAGAAAATGCTCTGGTAGACTATGAGACTGTGTCTTTTCTGCTTGCTCTAGAAACCTATATCGAGAACTGAGGGCAGTGATTTGTATGGATTCAGCTTAGAGAAATGATGACATTTTGTTATGTTCACACCTCTCACAAGATCTCTTGACAAGGAAATCTGTGAAACAATGTGTATTACTTCGAAGCTTTGCTGTTACTCTCCATCTTCCAGCTCAGAACAGACTTCCCAAACAACAGATGTCTATTCTCTGTTCTCGTTTGTGCTGAGAGTTCCTCGTCCTGGGTTGCCCGAGCTGGGCGCGAATGTCAGAACCATGGGTGGTCATCTATCTGCAGGTCCCTGTCCGTAGATTTCAGTGTGTTTAGTCATGAGAGGGTCTCTCTGACACAAGTTTGAGATTGAGCTGACAGAGCTGACGGGGGGTGACTTTCATGCTACTCCATTTTTGCTGCTTTATATGCTTGTCGTCTGCAGCAGGAGAGCATGAGTAGGGCATCTTTACCCTGCCTCTGTGCCAGGGTTTAAGTTTTGGAGTGAAAATACTGGATCACAAGTGAAATCAGCTGGAAGGCTGACCCAAAGATATGGTCCAAAGCTAAGCGAGCTCCTTATGGAACAAGGAAGGACTGTTTAACTACAGAAGGTAGCTGTAGCTGTCTTTATCCCTCTGCAAAATACGCACTGTGTGTGGTTTGACTGCATCCAAGTTTCTGGTGATACTTTTCTATTCCTTCTCCTGTGTAAGAAAAAATGTATTTAGCATCCCTCAGGCACCAGCTTTCCAGCTCTCTCCTGTCTTTCAATGAAGGTGCTGGTGCATAAGGTAGGAAAATACGTTTCGGAGCAGTCAGTGGGTCTGTACAAGTAAACCTCTCTGTGCTGCCCAGTGCGTGGCCATGCAGAGGTACAGATGTGACAGTAAGGGATGGAAACTCCTCTACTTCAAGTAGTGGAGGAAGAAGAACGTACCAGGTGGAGCAGCGTTACTGACCTAGCTGTCTGGGGGGCAGGGGAGGAAGAGGAGGGATTAAAGCAGTAAAACCAAGGTGCTGTTCTGAGAGAAGGTGAGGATGCCTTGTAATGTCAGACAGCAAACCAAGCTGTAACTGGAGGACCGTGAAATTACAGCAAAGCACAGGACTGACCTAAGTGCAGCTAGGATTTGATAAAATTTTTTATGTATTAAATTGTGGTACTTCTTGTTAAAATGATCCAAGTCCAAAATGAAATCTGTTGTTAAGGATCAGCTGTGGTGTGTGTTTTCTAAAACATGGGGTGACTTACTCTGCAGAAGGGTAGATACAGATGCACCACTCTTCCTGGACAGCTGGTATGCGATGAGGAGGCCTGCTGCTGGCCTCCGGTTTTGTTTGCTGCCTAGTCCCTGGTATTCTCCTCTGGGACCGTCTTGGCTGGGTGTTAATTGCTGTTTCAATGCTGAATGGTGGTCTGTACAGTGCAAAAGTACAAATGTGGCTGTCCGAATGAGCAAAGAAGCTAAATGAAGCTGCTTCAAGAGACCATCTAGGACAAGTGCCAGCTCAGTTTAAGCCTTCTTGGATACCCTCTCTACTGTTGCACTAAAGCTGCTACGTCGAGTTTATGCTTTGTAGGTACCTGGTTTTATTCATCGCCATGAGCACTGCAGGTCTGGCGAGTGATTTCCTAAGCAGCCTCACAACTCTCTGGAAGTAGTGTGCTTGTCTTGCCCAAAGTCCACTGATGCTGAAGTGAATTTTGAACAACCCCAGACTCAGTGTTCCCTGCGGTCTGATAAGCACCCGTATAACGCATGCCACAAACCGTGTCAGAATGCCAGTAGCATAGTGATGGAGCAGTTGTGTGAATGCTGAGCTCTTGCCTCAACACGTGTTCTGCGACTGTGGTTGCAGCATAGGAGTGCAAAGCGTGCTTGCCTCTCGCGGCGTGGCTGGGGACAGGTATTCCAGACTCCACAGCGGCTTTGCAGTGTAGCTGTGCACCAGCCTCTTCTCTGCTGGGTAGGCTGTTATGTTTAATGTTTAATTTGCCAGCCATGCTACAGTAGGTCTTACAGTGTTTGTATATTAAAAAGTTCCCACAAAGAACAACCATGCAATTTAATCACAGATCATGCACAATTTTTGAAAAGGAGTGGGTTTCTTTTTTACAGGTTGGGTTTTTGGGGTTTGTTTTTTTTTTTTTTTTAAACCCAGCAGCTTTCTGGTAGGGTCTGGAGATAATAATTTGCAAAAGAATCATGACTTTCATGCCAACTTTTAACTACAAAGCTGTAAACAGTGTAGGAGGAGATGACTCCAGTTCTGCAGGAGAGACTAAGTAGGAGGGGCGAAATTACTGGCAAGTTGAAATATTTTTGTTTTAAAGAGAACAAGTGACCATATTGGATGCAAAGGATGACTTTCACATTTTGGGCTTGAAAGGATGTGCTAGCGGACAAGATCAGTTAAGGAAAGTCGGGAAGGAGAATGCAATAGTAATTGATCCATAAAAGGAATTGTATTTCCTGCTCTCCTCCAGTGAATCTGCAGTTCATTTAACTGCAAACCTTGTTGCAGTATGGACAATAATAAAATGCGTGTACATAATTAAAATGGTGAAGATAGAGGCTAAAAACTATAAGTAAATCTGTAATAGCAGCTGATTTTTTGAATGAAACACTATAACCTGCTTAAGTGGTTTTGGATCAGTTAATTTTCCCTATCATATTTTATAAAATTCCTTACTTGACAGGTAATCATAAGCTGTTGTAAAAATGTCTTCATCATCTCTTGGTATGAAAACAGAAAGTACTTTTGCTTGTCTTGGTGTTTCCTGAAAGCACATTAATGTATTATTCATCGTAATGAGGTCACATGCACTGAGCTTGTGTGAATGTCTGCAGCAGAGAATGAAGTTAATGATACTGACTTGAGCACAGGGGCTAAGTCAGATGGACTGCTGCCTCTTCTCAAAAGGTTGGGCTGCTTGTCAGAGATTTCTGTCTTCTGGTTTAACCCCGGGAGCTAAGTGTTTGAGGTGGTCTTGCTGATCTATTAGCAAGATCAAACAGGGAGTATTTTCTTTACTTCTTCGTTAGAGGTATTTGGTTTTTATGACCATTAACTGGCTTTTGCCATGGATAAATCTACTAACTAATGCTCTAGGAGCGTAGAAGGCTCGTTAGCCCATTGTCATATTCGTTTTTAAAGCCGTCTAATATTGCCTTCCATGAAGTGGCCAAGGCATTCATGACATTCAGTCCTAGATTATTTTTGAACAAAACCATCTGAGAACCAACTTCATACTTTCTTCAAGTGTGCTGGTATTTGTTCAGACTGTACAGGTTCAGAACTGGATGTGACTTGCTTATCTGATGCCAGATTAGGAAACTCAAAATAATTTCAGTGCCCCAACTTGGACCGTGCTCCTGAGGAGCAACAGATATGATGGTATGCAAGCTGCTAGGAAGGGTGTCTTGGTGAGTGCCTTGGAGAGGCATTGTTGAGTGATTAGGTGGATCAGCAGTCACAGGAAGAGTGGGCTGGGAGGAATGCCATGCCGTCACAACCTGAGAGTTGAAGAGGCCACGTTATTTGATTTCAGCTGTGACACCAGAGATGGAAAAGTTAGTTCTGACAAGACTTACACACTGGTCTCTGAAATAGCGAGTGAACCTGAAGGCAGCAGTTGTTGTGGGTCTGGACCAGGAGAATGATAGGCTACAGAGGCTTGAACGAGTCCCTCCGGAGTCCAAAATAAACAGATGAAATGGATGTAGGGTGTTGAGTTTGGGACAAAAGGCTCTGGTTGCTTGTTGGAAAACTTACCAGGATGTTTGGTGCATCACCTACCACCTTTTCGTATACAGTGTGCTGAATTTAGTATGCTGTTCCCTGTGACTGGTTTCTGTGTAGCCACTAGTAGACTTCTGGCAAGCCTGGTAGCAGTAAACCATCTCCAGAGCAGAGGTGTTGCCAACAGGGATCAGGCACGGGGGCCCTCTGAGGCACCATCCTGCTTGTATGTGGCCGGGACTGGGGGAAAGTATGAAGAACCTGCAAGATACAGAGTTAATTCCCCTTAAGAAGATCACATTTTATCTCTAAGGGGTTAGGTTGTATTCAAAGCTGAAGTGTGACATTTTAGGTTGCTTCCAAAATGCATAACCTGCAACTGTTACAAGTCCTGATGGTTTTGCTTTCGTTGTTTTCATGTTTCCTGTAACATTTGCTGGGTGTTTGACTTGAACAATGTACAATAACCTAAGCTCCGCTCTACTTAGAGAGCTGTGTGAAGAAGTATTTCCCTTTATTAGTTTCAGATTTGTTGCTCTCCATTTCCCTGTGGTGTTCATAATGCATTGTGGTGTTTTGTGCTTTTTTTTGAATTTTGCTGCATTTTGTTCTAAGTCTTCACTCCTCATGCCATTCAGATCCTTTTGCAAACAGTTTTTGAAAAAGAAAATTGCACTTCTCTCATTAAAGAGCATTCCATTCTTCTTCAGGAGGTCCTTTGCAGTGATTACAGTGTAGCTGTGATCTTACCCTAGGAAAGCTTTCCTGGACTGGATTTAGCTTCAGTAAACAGAAAATCTGTGATTTATTTTTGACATAGTGCATTCTGTTCCAGTCAAATTTTGCTCCCTGCTTCCCATTCTGTAGCTTTGTTTATCTTTTAGCCATGCCGCAAGTATACAAGTGGACCGAATCATAAATTGCGCAATACTACGAGGACACCAGAACGTTCCTGGCTAAAATTTTTTTGTCTCATTGCAGCCTTGCCCTTCATGTAGTACCACCCTTGCTCCCCACTGCGATGTCAGCATAGATGAAGGAGCTATCCAAAATGGTTGTCAGGATGAGCATAAAAACAGTACGAAGGTAATTGAAGTGTTTATCATGTTAACTCTTCTCTTCCCTTCTTTCTCTGCTTCAGTTAGCTTTCTCATTTTCACATTGCTGTTCCTTTATTCAAGCTCTTAAACAGCAGAACCAGTTTTGATTTTGAGCGGTTGTGTTCTGAAATTTAGTTGAGGGCCCCCTCTCCCCATTTTCAAAATTACCAGTGTTTTTGTGGGCCCTGTTTGATACTGACAAGAACCTAAAATTTGGACTCTGAATTATGCTGAGGCTCCCCAAAGAAAGAGGCACAACCAGCACTACCACACTCTACGTCCCTTACACCAGCTGGCTATGTGTCACCTAGCCGCAAGTTGCACCTAGATCTTGCCAATGTCTGCTGCATCCTAGCTCTAAGCTAAGGCAGAGTCATTCCTGTTCACGCACACAGCTGAAATTCACAGCATCTAAGTCAGTTTGCATCCGTTTTCTGACCGACAAATACAGCGTCTCATGTATTCAGCGTGCTGCTGCCAAGATTGTTTCCTTGCCTGTTGCTTAGGTGTTCTCATTGAAGCCACCTATTTCCTCTACAGTAGCAGACGTTGCCTATTTGTCATTTTGTTTGTGGCCTTTGTAGCTTTTCTGCTCTGCCTGTTGCCTCTCACTCCTTCCTGAATATTAAGCTCCTGCCTAAACGCAGACTGGATACCAGTGCTCATCACCTGATTGTTTCATTTTCAAGCAAGTTTAATGATTTACCTTGTTGGGGAGAATCATTTTATGAACACATTCAGGGATAGGTATGTTGTTTTTTTTCTTCACATCTGTCTTTACAACTTTTGTCGCATATAGAGGTAATGGAAAAACTTCCCCACACTTATTCTACTGATGAGCTACTACATTAATCTTCTTAGTCCCTCTGCTTTCTGCTATATTTGACCTGTTTTCTCCTATGTGTAAATGGTAAGCTCAGAAGCAGGGACTGCCTTACTGGACTGGGCTGGTATGTAACACAGTAGACCATGTTCTGTGCCAGAGTTCCTAGGAAACAGCCTAAGGAAAAAAGAAAATAATAATCCCTTCAGCTCTGAGGGAGGCAGAGCAGAGTACCCAGCAGGTGCTGGTTTTGGAACAGCATGAGATCTTTAAGACAGAAAACATTGTGGGAGATCTGCCTAGGCTGCCAAGATGGTATGCGTGAGATGCTTCTTCCCCAGGCTGCCTCTGCCCACGTGACAGGGATCGCCAGGAACCAACTGCAAACAGAGATTTTCCCTAGGTACCAAATGCCTTGTGTTGTATGTTGTCTTCATCAGAATTGTCCTGTGAGTTTCTTCCTACTGCAGCTGTATTAGCTTCGTGTGTGTTAATTGGCAAGTCATCTAACCTTGCTTAGAAGAGGTCTGAACAGTGCTGAATAAAATGTCCATTATTTCACTGTAAGAAACGTGCTAGTGGAGACCAAATCACATGTCCTGCTTGGGTTCGGTTTATATATCCCTAAGTCAAAAATTGGACCAGTTAAGTGGTTACCAGTAAGTGTGGGATGCCTGTTTAACTGCAAGCTTAAAGAACAGCTACATGTCCAAGTTGCCGTGGCATTTGATCTCCAGATCTTCTTTGCAGTCTCAGCTTTGTTGCAAAGAGCCATAAGCTCCCTCTGCCTGTCTCTGGAGTCTGTCCCCTTCTCATGCCACGTCGCTCCGCCTGGCCCTGCAGCACTCATGTCCCCTGTCTTTAGGGAACGTTAGTGATGTTAGCCATGGCCTTGGACATTTGTGGGTCCCCACGGGCTCTGGAGCCTCCCTGTCTCTTGACGAGAGGAAACCGTCGCGTGGTGCGTCAGATATCTGAGCACCCAAAAAGACCTCTCTAGCCTGTTGCCATCAGAATCCACAGTAACATTTGAGCTAACAAAATGTAATAAATAGAGATTTTCTCCTTACACATAAGGAATACACATTCATACTCTAATCCTCTCCTGTTAAGATTAACGTCTGTGGGAGACGGCACAGGAAAACCTCGAGCTGAGTGAAGGGAAGAATTTTCTTAGGGATTTGAGCCTTTGCCAAGGAGCTAAAGAGAAAAGGCCAAGAGAAGTCCATGCTGACCTTCTCTGAAAGAGCAGAAATTTTCACTGCATTCTTCAGGTGAATTTGAGGAACAGACAGGGAAAGCAAACAGTGCACAGGAGTCCATATCTTTTATTCGAGCTGCGCGTAGCAGAAATTGTGTTCTCTTGGTTACTGCTTTTCAAGTAATGTCATCTGCTGCAGGGGTGAGGAAAAGGAGGAAGATTCTTTACCAGAAAAAGAAAAGGTGGTAACTATGACTTTCATGTTTCTTTTTAGGCCTCAAGTTGTTCTGGGAAGTGCTCTGAGCAAATACGGTCTTTAGCATAACTTAAAAAAAACCCCAACAATAAAACCCAATGAAGATCCTTCGCTTCTAGCAACTTGTTGGACAGTTCTCTTTGGTTTGCCTTTGTTGGTACTCCTGGTCTCACAGACAGGGAGGTTTCCCTGGCACTACAGTAGGTCTTGTGCTTCTTAGCCGTGTTCCTCTGGGTAGGCTGTTACAGTTGCAGAGGAACTTGCTCTGAAGCTGCTGAAATATTTTCCCTTAGAAAAGGAACCGGTGACCTTTTGTGTAAGAAGTTCTTGTGCCTCTGGCTTACTAGGAGAGCCGCCCTTCTGTCATATGCAAGCGCCGATCTGGTCCAAGAGTTTTTGCTCTGCTTTTGCTGAGATATGTGTTGCTGAAATCACCTTTCTCTTCTGTTGATTACATTCTTTAGCAAAACATTGGCAGCACACCAAGGTAGCTACTTAATTTCCTATTCTACTTAGTCAGCTGCTGTCACTGGCCTGTGAACACCTGCAAGCTGCCAAAACAACTGTTGTGATCGGTAGAAGGGACTAGACTGGGAATCCTTTCGTCTCCTGGCTCCCAGCAAGTGGCTTGAGGGGCTCCCCCCTCCATCGGGGCAGCCCGCAGGGTGGGGATCCTGCATCCCTCCCGGGTGGGCGGAAGGGCCGGTACAGCCCACCTTCCTCCTGCTTTTCCTGCAGCTCCGGGGAACCGTTCCAACACACCTTGTTATGACTTAAGCTCTTGAGGCCTTGGCAGTGATAGGGAGCCAAGCCCAAGTGTTTTCTGACTCTTCCCCGCACAAGGTGACGTTCTGCTGCCATTCCGTTGGTCTTGTATCTGCACTGGTTGTGTCTGCGCCTTTCGTTATACCTGCCTGTTTTCCTGTGTCACGTTTGCTTTATCAGATAGATGCACAAGGAGGCTGAACTAAGTTTGCATGGGCAGCCAGCAACCAGATATTTCTTAACTTCAAGTTGATTGTAAAATCTAAGTAACATATTTCAGTGCGTGGTTGGGGTGGTGGTGGTATTTATGGTATTTATTTATGGTCACTGTGGTGGCATCCAAGAATAGTCTTCTGGAGGAGCTTGTCACTGCTGTACAGGCAGAAATGGAGAAACTTCTGTCATGAGTGGGTTTCAGGATGAGGATAAATGATACCTGATAATTGATAAGACATGGAGGGGGGACATGAACATTCAAATATGCTAAGTTTGATATATGTTTGCATTTGAAAATGATCCTGACTAACTGCAGTTCATTTTCATTCTAAATGTATTTAGTTGTCTAATTTTTTTTTTTTAATTGCTTCAGTGCATATTGGTCTAGGTCAAAGAAAATGTAAAAGAAGGAACTTCAGGTTCCATGAAAATAGAGTGATTTTTGGTTAAAAGTAATTTGTCTTCTCAAATGAATGGAAGCAGAATCGGTAATACTGTGTACCTAAGCTGTGCTTGTGAGCTGGTGTCAAAATTTAAAAATACAGTATTAATTAATACAAAGGCAAAAGAAAACCAGAAAGGAGAAGTATGTCTTAGTGAACAAAATGTAATTTAATTTGCAGGATAAATTTTTTGTGGGATGATGGGGCATCTGAAAGGGCTGTTCCCACAGGCAGGAGAAAAGGAGGCAGCTCTGTCTGTGAAAGCAGCAGGGCTGTAGTGGTCAGTGGAAGGATCATCAAGGGCTGGCAGAGTAAGTTGTCTCATGACCTGTGGAAAAATAACACAGTTTAAGTAGGTATTTAAAAAGCTTTTTAGAAGAATCTTGACCACAAGATGAGTGCATGAAATTTTGGCTTATGGTTGGTCTTCATTGCGTGTGTGAAAATGTGCTTTGTTTTCTGCTCCTTGGAAACTTCGTACAGAGATGATGTGAATGACTTCAAGGCAGGTGGAGTTAGGCCTTTGACGTGAGCAGGTAAAAGCTCAGTATGTGGAGGGAAGAGCTTCTTTCCACTTTTGCTCCATGAAATCTCATCTGTGTACTTTCTCAGCCACTGATGTTCCCCATGTATGTTTTGCTTTCCGTCATTCAGGCTCCAGGAGGACACAGTCCAAAGACTCAAAATGGGCTTCTGAGTCCTCCACAGGAAGAAAAGCTGAGCAATAGTCAAACCTCGCTTTATGAAATGTTGCAAGAGAAAGGAAGATGGGGTGGAGTGAGTCTGGATCAATCAGCTCTCCTTCCTTTGAGGTTCAAAAACATCAGAGAGAAGACAGATGCTCACTTTGTGGATGTGATTAAAGAAGACAGGTAAGGAAAATCGAGCTGAACAATGTAAAATTGTATAAAGGAGAGAAGGTGGTAACAGGGGGTCCCATACGTTTTGTCTTTATTTGTGTGCTTTTTGTCCAATGTCAGTAGTTATTGTTAACATATAATATGTTGTATGTTTTCTGATCTTAGTCTATATTCTGTTTAAACTACAGTAGGAACTTGATGTCAGAAACATTCTGCTGAGGAATATGTAAAGCCAGGTTTTTCATCATTTCCGTGGTGAACGGAAGTCATTCTTCAGTCAAGTCTTCGAAAAGGAAAAATAGTCTTTAAATGATTTGTCATGAAGTTGAACTCTTATCTTTACATTCAAAAGTCCTCTTCATGTGCACAGCATGTAGCTTCCTCTGCAATTAAAAGTGTAACATAAAATCTGAACCACAAAACTCACAGTTTTGTGTAGCAAAAAGAACAACATCTGATAAAGTTGTGTGACTAACTAAAGCCTAGAAATCATACTGGGCTTGGAAGCAGAATTAATAGGAGTGATTTCTCATGGACCTGCTACCTGCCTACAGCATTTTGTAAAGTTAGCTTCTCTTTCCATTTCAAGCAAAAAAAAAAACATGTCTTGGGCAGAGGAAAGTATGTTCTCCAAAATTCAGTAGTGTGTGATTTTTGTAGACACACAACCACATCTCACTGTGGCAGTGACTTGACTGGATCAACTGAACAGATAACTTGAGTTTGTTATTATTTATGGCTATTCTTATTTTTGCTTCACTGCTTCCACTATGGTTAGGGGTATTTTATCTAAATATCCTTGAAACTGTGTGCTTTTATAGACTCCAGGCTGCTTGGAATAGGGACACTGTCGCTGAACTGAAAACATGACTAAAGCAGGGAGAAGTGAGAGGGAGGGACACCAGTTCCTCTCCAGTCTCTGCTCTAGATTTTTTCAGATTACCTTTCTCTTGTGGCCAATTTCAGTTAAAATTTAGGTTCCTTTTTTTTCTCCTCTGTGTGTGGTCTGTCGTTAGTGGCTGAGAAGAGGTATATAGCTGATATTTTCAAATATTAGAAGACAGACGGATTGGGGAAGTCCAAATGTTGGCAAAAATCAGCAAGAACAAATTGAATTTTTGTTTAAAATGTAATTAGCATGCTGCAAATTTTAGGTTACAGAAGTAGCTTAATTTATGCTGTTGGTTTGCTGAAGATACCTAGCTCGAGCTCTTATGTTCCTGGAGCTTTCCACCTCTACTTACAGAACGGATAATTCTTTCAGATTTGGAAAAAGTAGGACCATGATTTGACATCAGTCAGAGCAGAGCTTTTTTTTGGTCTCAATTAAATATCATCATTACCATATTAAGTGGGCCATTTCTTGTTTCCAGGGAAACTTCTCTGCTGAGTTCAGTTCATGTAAACATAACTTTCCAAAAATAATCTTCTGATTAATTACATCTATGTGAAATGGTTTAAGCCTACCATTTTACATTAATCCTTTTTAACATTTCTCAGTGTGAAGTTATATGTAATAAGTCATTTTAAAAGCATTCATAATCCCCTACTGTAAAGTATAATATGTTGTTTGTCTCAACAAATCTAGTATGTGTGAAGATGTTTGAGTGGGAAATTTGAGTTTTCTCAGAAGTCGTGGTCCAAGCTTCCCCTTGGTCATCTTATGTGATACCACATTCGCAATAATAATAATAATGCTGGAGTTCTGCTGCTTTGGTTTTATGTTACTGCAAACCCAGGAGCAGCGAAGTGTGAGCTTCTGCAAGCATTGGGCGGTGATTTCCACTGTGGTGCAGGATGCTGGTGTTCTGATATAGATGTGTATTAACAGAAAGTACCTGACCCAGATGTGGTGATAAGGCACAGAAATTAAGCGCACAGGCTTCATGTGTGGCTGGAAAGGGTTAAACATGTTCTGGGGAGGATTCAGGAGCCTATGTGCCGCGACAGGCAGCTGCCTAGGGCGGGCTAGGAGGACGTGCTGGATGCTGGTGATTTTTTTCATTTCCCAGCCTCTTTCCAGAGTTTAGCTGTGTGGCTGAGAGTTTCACGAGCGGCCGTTGGTCTCTGCGTGCCAAGGTTTCAATTTGGAGCTGATATTTCAGCGCAGTTCCAGTTGTCTTTAAAAATAATAATAATAAAGCCAGTGTCAGTGTGGCATGTTTGTATTATTGCATTATACAAGAATCCTTTTCATAGAAGTTACCAGTTTGCATCTTTTTACAGCTCGATTATATATATTTGGCAAACAGTGTGTAGTTTGAGCTTGGAGTCTGGCTTTACTACAACCACTATGAAAATACTATGCTTTGTTCATTGTAATCTGCATGGTACTGTGTATTTTAAAAGAAAACTATAGTGTAAGAGTACAAAATGTTTAAATTTGATGTCGTTGGGGATACCCTCAAAGGATTTTTGCTTTTTACATTTTTGTTTTCAATAAAAATTATGTATTCCTTAGGTTATAAACCTTTTGAAGTACAAGAAACAAATACTCATGTGCTAGTCAGGACAGTACTTGGAGATAATCTCTTTAGACTTACAGAGCAGAGTCCCAGGGCAATGTGAAGCTCCCCCCAGAAGCTAGGTTCTGTGCAGCCTTCATCCCCTCCGTGGGTCACTTTCCTGTTTCAGTGCTTCTAAAATTTGTTTATTTCTTTCATCTCCCACTTCCCAGTCTTGCTCGATTCAGGGAAAACAGAAATCACTTGTGCTGGGGAGGCACAGTGCCTACTGGGAAGCAGATTATGTACTGGATTGTGTTTAGTCAACTAAACTGGGATCTTCCTCTTTGAGACAGACGACAGTTGACGTGGAACTGGACTGGTGCAGTACAGCTGGCTGGCATCAGGAGTGCTGCCTTTGCCCTGGTTCCATCTTGTTATACCTTCTGTTTCATGCTGCACTGACAAGCTGGATTGTTCTTCCTACATCCTTAGGCTGTGGGAGCTCCAGAACAACATCACCATACTCTGGTGGGCTGCCCTGGAGGAAGAAAGTGAATTCAACAATATTTAAATTTAAAAAAAAAACAACAAAGCTTTAAAAATTCATATTGTAAGATAAATCTTACAATATGTAGAAACATCTAAGAGGGGAGAAGGATGGAGGACAAGGAAAAATGAAGGAGAGAAGGGACACTTGAGTGAATGTGTCCTGTCGTTCCTTCAAAGTATCCTGATGTCTTTAATATGTTGGCCAAGGCCAGAATGTTTAAAGGTTGTAAAGTATCTGCTGCATTCATGGTTGAAGTCTTTTGTCTTCTCGATCTTCAGTCTAGGATTGTGTATTTGGTTGGTCTTCAGATCAAGAAAAAAATGCTTCCCACATGCCATCTTGTGCTAGGGAGCTTGTACTTCCAAAAAAACGCTTTGTCAAATGCTCGTAAAAAAATAAAACAGCAAAGAACCAAAACCAAACCCTCTGGAAAAAAAGAATTCAGACCCAGACTAGCTCTGTATGATCTTTCAGCTTCTTCATCTTCTTGGAATTTGATCTCCTATGCATCTCTGGTTTTTGCTTAGAGTTATCAACTTGAAAACAGCCCACGCTAATTGTCGCTTCAGTGCTTCAGTTTCAAGGTGGGAATAGGACTTGGAAAAAAGCTGCCCTGTTTCAGATTCTACAGCAATTTTAAAGACAGTTCACTGTAAATAACAAGTGGAATCGGTGACTTGAAAATGAAAGAGGTTCATAGCAAGAGTGTGATCTGCAGTCTCAGATGAGGACTGCACAGAAGAGAGGGTGATGGGCTATCCCAGCAATAAATGGCATAAGCAGGCGTGACTTTGCCCTGTGACCATCAGGCACAAAGCACTCGCTGCTCGCTAAGTCCAGTTCTTTCAGCTCTACAACACCTGCTAGCGAATGAAAAGGTTTGCAGATCAAGTACTGTTGTTAGAAAACTTCTTTCGTAAACCTCTTAGAACTAACATAAAATTCAAAAAATGTTCCATTTTTGTTCCAGATGATGGGGAATAGAAACAACTTTTTAATGATTGAGGCCTCTTTCATGTTTGGGTTGGTTTGGTTTTTTCCTGCACCTGACACTGGAAGATAAGGTGAAGGAGTGCATAAACACCCTCTGGCAGATGCAGCCTTCTGGTTCTTTAGCCCTAGTGAGCTAGCTTCAGTGTTTGTGTGTGCCTTTTGTTGATGATTCTGGTGATTTCAAATCCTCTGTTTCAGAAGTAAATGTAAGCTATCCATCTCCTCAGGTTCCGTTTCTCTGCAGCCCCGATCGTTAAGGGAATGTTCCCAGCTGAGTTACTGAGTTATTTTAGTGCCTTTGAAATAACAAGGAAGTGCTGTTTTCTAAAATGGACAACGTGGGGGTTTTTTCCTAACAGTTTGTCACGTTTGTCATCCTTGACTTGCTTTGAATGACAGCATTCCACCTAAGACACACATATTCCACAGCCACACGTTGTGCCTCTGTAGCAGCAATTAACCTTTACAATTTGCTGGCTTATGTTATAATTATCTATAGTCATCTGTGGTTATAGGTGTTAAGTTTCTGGAAGGACTTGTTAGTCTCTTCCTGAAAATATTATGTTTGTTCTGTAATTTTTTCATAAAATACTTCCTTTGACTGAGCGAGTGATGTGGCTAAGGGGGCACCTCATCGACCGAGAGCGAAGAAAAGCTACAGGAACTTCAAAGCCAAGCACTGGCGTCCCTAGAAACAGAAACCGCTGAATGAGGGGCTCTGAAAGAGTTACAGCTGAATAAACTGACGTTGATACTGTCTTCTCTCTCTAGCCTCATGAAAGACTACTTCTTTAAACCGCCTATTAACAAGCTGAGCCTGAACTTCTTGGATCAGGATTTGGAGATGACCTACAGGACGAGCTATCAGGAAGAGGTGTGTTTCTCCTGGCGTTGGTTCCCTTCTGTAATCTGTCTAAGCAACTGTCTGTCATTTTTAACACATTTCATTGCAGTTGATGACAAGGGTCGTGAAATGTCAAATGTGATTTACTACTTGGTGTTGCTGCTTCTGAAAACAGTCTCCTTTCAGTTTACCTCTCTTGTGTCATGCCCTGAGTCGAGCCCAACATTTGGGCTGGAAATGCGTTTTTGCAATCCACCAAGATATGGTAATTACTTCTCACCTACCTTTTCCCCATTTCAGGTTAATGTTTTAAGGCTATTGGCAGGCCAGAGAACCATGCTCAGATGAAGGTAAAGGACCAAGTACTCCTTGCCATCTCGTCAAATATCCTAACTCTGCTTATGGTAACTCTGAATTTGATTCCTGCTCATGTCACAGCCTCATGGCTATCCCTGTGGAACCCAAGCCAGCTTTGAACTCAGATGTCCTGCATTCTGTAAGGGTTCTGTGTTCAGAAACAGGCAGTTCAAAACACTGTGTAATGGTAAGGAATAGTGAGTAAATTGTAAGAAACTTGGTGCCTTCTTCGGGATTCTGCACAGAGTGTAAAAGTCCTTAACCCCTCAGGGACTAATTGTGTTGCAGGCTTTCCATGTCTGTAGGTATTCCTGCCTGGTTGATACGAACTAGCAAGATGTTTTAAGTTTACGTGTAGCGACAATAGTTGTCAGTACTAACTGAGGCTACATTTCCATGAGGAGCTGAGAAGTTGCTGCCAAGAGGGCATTTGCTCTCCCCTCCTTGGTCCTCCTCTTCCCTGCTCCTTCTAATGGCTCTGCTGCTTATCAGGATTCCCTTCTGTGAGCCAGTTCATTTTACTAGCCTAGCATAAAATATTCATGTTTTGGTTTTCTGTTTGGGGCTTTTTCTTTTTCCGTCTCAGTCTGTTTTCTGCTGTATTGAACCAGCAGCTCACCGAGAGGTTGGGAAGTGCCAGAGCCAGTGTGAGATAAGTGTCCGGCAGCAGGAAGGGGAATGGGCCCTTCCCTTCCAGCAGCATTGAGCTATTAGTTTGGGTCATCCATCTAGCAGAATTGCATCGTGGTAAATGTAGGTGTTGATTCCTTTTATTCCCCGTATGTCCCACATCTGAGGGCAGGTAGGATTTCTGCTTCTGCTGCTTGTTGCTCACTGTTCATGGGTTGCTTTCTGTTCTGCGTAGCGTTGTCATATTGTCCTTGGCAATAGCTCCTATTTGCTTGTTTTCCAACGTTTACAAATGAGACCTAACTTACATTTTTTAACAAAGAAAAGCAGCCTGTGTTGCAGTTCAATTTGTTCACTTTGTTCAGGAACTCCATACTCATCCTGCAGCACTGTATTCTACTGGTATCTCCCTGAATAAAGCTTATGTAACAACAACAGGTAGAAACTTCCCATGGGATGCAGCCTGAAAAATTTGCACAAACTATACAGAAAATAGTAAATCAGTTTTTTTCCAATTGAAAGATTGGAAAGAGAAGCAAAGCAGTGATAGTCAACTATATACAGAATGCGTTTTGTTAGCAGCAAGCTATTATTATGTAAACCTCCCTGGAAATGGGAATCTTTACTCTCTAATAGTAACCCTGCAGCACTGGGGCAAAAATCTGCTAAAGCCTTAATATTAGCATAATACTGGTCCGAAACAGCAACAGAAAATCTTATTTTGGAAAGTGAAATGATTTGTCAGCACTGCTGGTTCTTTAATTGCCTTGCAGTGAACTGTTGCTGAAAGTAACTTCCAACACTGCTGAATTCACCTCTAATTAGACAGTGCCAGCTGCATGCTCTGTTTGTGATTGTTCTCTGTAAGTGGCTCCACTTCCCAAGAGCTTGCTTAGCCTGTTCTTGTTTGGAAATTAGGCACAATTTAACACTGTTAGGGCGTCCTTAATGCTGTCACTTTAGGATACCGTGCTGCTTTCCTTAATTCAATTTGTGTGACTTTCTGTGTGGGCTAACAGGATTCTGCTAGAGTTCATATTAAAAAGTAATTTTGGCATTGAATGATACTAGCAGAATATATCAGTTTGCAGAGAGGTACAAATGACGAACAAGTTCATTTCCCAGTATTGCAGAGTGCAGACAGTGTTCTAAGGAGCAGAAGAAATTTCCAAATTAAACCAGAGTACAAGAGTGTAGTATTCAAACTGGGCTGCTTAGTGGCAATATGGATAACATACTTTTTGTTTTTCTTTGGAACTTGCTTTCTGTGGTCCCTTGGGCAGATACAAGCACTCGTAAGACTGGGCTCATCTGAGTAAGCCAGCGTGTGGAGCTCATGATGTGGTTCTCAGCTGGACTGGCCAAAGTAGCACGCAGCACAGCTGCACAAGCGCTGGAGCCAGGACGGGACAGGATGGGAATGTGTGGCGAGGGGTTACAGAAGAACAGGACTTGGTGTCCTGGGCTCCGATCGATTCGGATTACATAGTGTTCCGATTGCTGCTTTTAATCTGGTTTGAAGGGGAGATGTGAGCTCTGCCACAGGCAAGTAACTGTTTATGCAGAGTGGTGTTTGGAGGGTTTTCTTAAAGAACCATTGGAGCTAAAAGGTTTATTGTAAGATCTACTATTATTTTAAATGAAAACCCTTGAAGAAAACTTCTAGCTTTATCTGCTAGTAATTATGGGGTTTATGTTTATTTGCATAGAATAGGCAATTTTTGTATGGTTTATTTCTGTTTCATAATATTCTGTAAAAATCACCCAGACCTAGGGGCTGTGCTGCCAGTGCTTTTTTTTCAACACAGGCTTCTTCTCAGGGAACTGTGATAACCATTGAACCACCTCTTCAGTTTCTTGTTTCAAAACAGTACTTATGTAGGATTAATGAAGTGGCAAGAAGTTCTATATTCTTTTGGGTTTGTGAGGTGCTGTTTATGGTACAGTTGAATTCAGCAAAATAGCATTTATTCATTTTCATCCCTTCCCTCAATCCCTGTATTCCACACAGGTTATAAGGAATGCTCCAGTGAAGACGTTTGCCAGCGCTACCTTCAGCTCGCTCCTGGACGTGTTCCTCTCCACCACAGTCTTCCTCATACTCTCTATCACGTGTTTCCTGAAACACGGGATGGTTGCATCCCCTCCACCACCTGCGGCAGTCGTGGTGTTCATCATTGCCATCCTGCTAGAGGTGCTGTCCCTTGTCATCTCAATTAGGTAAATAAAGCGTAAGAAAGTCTTGAAAGAGCAGTGAGAACTGAAATGGTGGCTGGCTTGGGAACATTTTGTTTGACAGTATCCCAGGAGCTCACTTGGATGGTCTGTAACATTTGGGGAATGGTGTTAGTGAAGCCAAGAAGGCTTGCGGCAGATCTTGTGCTGCAAAAAGAGGTCTAACTACAGAAACTGGAGGAGAGAAAGATGACTCTTGTAGCGGCCACTTAAGGAAACAGAATCTGCACCCTGTGCCTGTCCCTGTTTATTGTTCCTTGGGATGCCACACAGAGCTGGATATCTTCTCCCCTCACAGGGCTATCAGAGTGAGGGAATTCAAACAGAAAACTTTTATCGTCCTTCAAAAAAAACACCATCCTGCCCTTAAATTCCTAGATAAAAGTATGCCATTCTGTGTTAAAACTGAAATAAGTTGTCAGAAAAGCAAAGACCAGTCCTTTTCTGAAAAAAAAAAATAAAAAAAATTGCAAAAGTCATATTGCATCTGTCCAGAATTAGTTTTCTTAATGATCTCTGTTTCAAGTCTCATGGGTTTAATACTCAAATAGTTTGTGTTTTCTCTGTTGGATGCATAATTGGAGTTCAGCATTTCCCCCGAGTCCTGGGCTGTGGGACAGCCAGCTGCTGCTTGCAGAAAGGGTGGCTTCGCAGGACTGTGCTCAGCAGTGCCAGCCCCGCAGTGCCCCTTTGCAGCCGACAGCAAAGAATCCCTGGTCCCTGAATTCTTCAGTCAGTCCCTGCAACCCCCGCGCCTCTGCCCCTCCCGTGCCCTTGGAGGTGAGGCTTGGCTGCTGACGCAGGTACCTGATATTCAGCAGTGACCCCTTCCTGATGTGTGCCCAGCCACCCAGGGGATGTGTGCTCTGGGCTGCTCGGACACTTGCGGGCCTTACCCTGGCATTTGTAACTTGACGGTGAGCAGTTACTCTGCGGTTCCTACATAGCGTGGGGTTTTCTTCAGACACGCAGGAGTTCCTAACACGTGGAAGTGTAAAAGACTGGAGTTGTACATGCATTTGGTGAAGCCTGTGCTCTCCTGGGTGTGTTGTCTGATTTATACAGATACCACGTGTAACCTGTTATTAGCCTGGATGATAGACCCAATAATAAGCTGTTTGTTTGTCTATACTTGTGAGAGCAAGTTTATTCCGCCCTCCCCATCCCCCATTTTCACTGCACTTCCTTCTGACACAAGAGCATGTTAGAAGGGTGGTGTGTGGAAGCGTGTGTCCTCACTTGTAGTTCTGCAAATCTGTCAGGTGTGTGTAAGTTAAAATGCTTTTGTAATTACAAGTTAGAAGCAATTCTGCTGTTGTTTCAAAATAAACAAGAGATTGCAGTTTGCACTCTTATTATGACTTTTCAGGGTCAAGGTAGAAAGTGCTAAATCAGTACTTCAGTCACTGAAGCAAGCTTGTAACTCACTGTGCATATAAATGTATGCAAGCGTATTTACAGGAGAGCTGGCATTCAGGAGTAGAGAGGTGTATTTTACGAGCAGTGGAAATGCTTTTAAGGACAGTATTTCTTAGCAGATGCATTTGATTGTTGCCATTTGAGTAGTGTTGTAGTTCTGGAGTTTTTAGAAAATCTAGAAATTCAGAAAGTGTTAAGACCCGTACTGGGAGATGGTTGAACTGGTAGGACTGTCATCCCAGTGCATCCTAAACTGGATTAACTGTTACTCTGTCCTCTCTCTTGCGTCAGAAACGCATTTTCCCCTTTGCAGAACAGTTTCTGTACTCTCTCTTGGGTGGAGGGGAAGGTTTTTTTTGTCAGTTTAATGTGCATGGGCAGTTCTTTCGTCACACGAGGCAGGAGAGGAAGGCGGCATTGAGTAGGTAGTCTGAGCTTGGTGGCCATGACATTGTGTCTTAGAATTTGTTCAGCCCTGAACAGCAGAGCTGGTTTCTGCTATCCAGATATATTTGGAGAAGATTTGTGTTCTTTCACCTTGCAGGTACTTGATCAAAATACTCCCATGTTAGTAGTTTTAAATTCATTATTGTTCCCACCTATTTTTCCAGTGTTACATTGCATTTGCCTTATCGTATTTTGTACATTTATAAAAAATTATTGCTATAATCTTAGAAATTTTTATAAGTAGGTACATAAGGCCTTACCTCAGTCCTGTTCTGTAATTTGTGGTTTATGGATTTCTTAAGGAGAGGGAAAATCCTTGTTTCCAGTGTGCTATCTATACAGTCAAGAATTTGCAAAGTGGTTTTGTCTTTGAGCAATGTACGGCTGTACAGAGTTTTAGCTTCATTGCAGCACTATATTGAGAGCCATGCTCTGTGGTAGTGAGCCCAGGCCGTTACCAAGGTGAGTTTAAGTGACTTTACAATGTTTTCTTTACACTGTTTGGTTTTGCCACTGACATTTCTAATATTTTCATGAGACTTTGTTGGCTTAAAGCCCAAATTTTACTTTCTAAGCTGGCTTGGATGCCTCATTTAAAGTCGGTGAGACTTTAAAAAGCAAGTGCTTCAGGATGACTCCTAAGTCTTAGAAGTATATATTTTTAAATATTAATCATTCTTTTGTGCTGAATTCTGATTTGAAAAACAGGTTGAGGAACATCTCACATTGTGGAGAACACCTATAAAAAACTCTCACATAGTCCCACCTGGTGTAGCAAGAACAGATTTTCAATACACTGTACTGACAGCACACAGGACTGTCGTTATCCTGACAGGCACTCACAGGAGATTTGGGCGTGTAGTCAATATTGCAATTCCTGCACAGCTGCTATGGGTGCAGGCGATCGGTGGTCGCTAGCACTTGCTGCATTCACTGGAGTCAAGATGACCATGAAGCTCAAGACCCCACAAATTCTCCTGGTTAGTTTGGGAAACAGGAATCACTGGATGGGATCAGTGATTGCTGCCCTTCCCTGCCCTCTCCTTGCAGAGCAGAGACACAGGAATCGGGTCCCCAGGTGTCCCTTGCTACTGGAGCCCCCATCGTGCAAGTGACAGATGTGTTGCTCCTTTCTTTTGGTGGGAGGGAAGTGTCTGCCAATCCCTCTGTATTTACTCTACAGTTACAAGCAATTGGTTCTCAGAAACTTCTTACCATGGGCTCATGTTCATGATTTTTACTAATGAGGTATCATTTGTATTTGGCTGAACTCTCTGACCATTGCATCTAAGCTAACGCTTCAGTAAATCTCTTTAAAGTACAAAACAGAATCATCTCAGATCTGAGCAGATCTTACCCAGGATACCTTCCTGAAAATAGCCTCATCCTGTACACCAAAAAAAGCGGTCTTTGAAGATGAAAATCCCAGAAGCTTTCTGGTAGGTTTTCAGCTTTAAATGCAGTGGCAATGGCATATTTGGGGGGGACTTTCGTAGGAAAAAGTATCTGTTTTGGCTTGGAGGGTTTCTTTTTTGTTTTGTTTTGAATTTATGATCTGTATTTGCTTTGGGCCCTTCCGGTCTCCACAACCTGAGGCACATACCTTGAGCAGAAAGAAGAGAATCGTCTTCTTCCTCTTCAAATCCTTTTCAAAGCGAGGACTGCTCAGTCTGACCGCTCGTTATGCGCAGAAACAGCGCAGAGCTTCCTGTGCAGAAATGTCATCCCAAATGACAATCACAGAATATCACCGAGATATCTTAAGGGAGGAGATTGAACTACAATGCTGGGCACCATCCCAGAATTTCAGGAAAAGGGATTATTTTAGGACCAGAAAATTCTTGCTTAAGTCTCTCATTGTATTTTCATTATCGTGATGCGAAACACCCTGCCTTTAAATGAGCCTGACTTTTAATTGAATCCAGGGCTCAGCCTAGGAAGTACTCGCTACAGCTCTTGTGGCTGAGACCTTTAGTCCAGCTGCAGGAAGGGGAGAGGAGAGCGCTATCGCTGCCTGTACAATGAGAAACGAGTTAAAACTTTTAAGTTCTAGAAGAGCAGAAGTCCTGGTGGAGCAAAGCTTACAAAGGAGAGGGATGTTTTGATTCCTCTGAAGTGTCTGATGATAAATTAGTGGAGTATCTATCGATGAGGATCCCACTGTTACTAGAAGTACCACTCTAAAATTAATTGTATAAAGCTGCACTTCAATAACGGTGCTTAATTTGTGAGCATGTGGAAGATGTCATCTCCTGTTCTGTAAAAATAGTGCAAAGAATGTCCTTCTGCCCACTTGAAATGTGACTGCTTTGATTTTAATGAGTTCAGCTGAAGTGTAAGAGGTCCTAAGGTTCTGCTATTTTATGGGAAAGATCGTTGAACATGTGACAGTGTGAGATTTCAGCTGGGATTCTTAGGAGTGCTTCTGCAGGAACACAGGTAAAAGGCACCTGCCCACTATTTTAGCTGTGAATACAGGATTTTTGTTAACTAGGTGCTTTTGACATCTAGTTCTTGTTCTAAAGTAAAACTTGATATAAAGAAACTTTCTTTTTTAAAAAAAAAAGTGTTGCTTTTGATAGCATCCTTCATTGAAGACTTCTGAGTGAAGAGATGAGGCCAGAATAGTGGATATTTCAACTCTGTTCAAAAGTGTGAGAGGTGGGAGCACTTGAGGAGTTGCTTCATGAATTCAGAAGTAGCTTTCTAGAGAGCAAAAAAATATTTTCTGGATGAAGAAAGCAAGCAAGTACAATCAAAACAGTGGAATGGGAAACTGCTGTTGTCTGACTAAGCAAAACTGCCCTTTGCCAGGAACTTCACCTTCCCAGGGCTGGCTGGAGTAACACCCACGATCTGTCCGCGGCTGAGACCGTGTGGCCGACCAGTTGTATCTTCTAAAATTCCTCATGACCAGGAACAGAAAGTGTTGTCTGCAACTAGAGCTTAATGAACCGGTTCTGTTAATACAGAGTATTGATGCAAGGGAAAACAATGTATTCTGTTTGCCTTTATTTATTTCTAACATCTGTGGCTTTGGTATTTAATATCCTACCAAATTGCTGCTATGCCAAAAGCTTTTGATTTGAACTATGGGAATTGATTTTAAACTGCCAGTAAATACAGAAATGATGGTAACTTTCTCCATTACCCATTAATCATTTATGTCAAAGTTACTACTTTGAGCTCCAGCTTGTGTAAACATCTTGGATGCTTTAGCATTTCAGCCCTGTTGAGCTACCCACTGACACTGCATTATTTACTGATACTGCCCCGTAGCCATTAAATCTGTCTGCAGCTCTCATTGCTGTCTGGATTTAATGCACTTCTTCCTGCGATGAGATGGTTGTGCTGTATTCACAGACTTTCGCTGTTTTGTGAAGGATTTCAATCGTTTTAATTCCAGAGTGCAGAGCATTGCAATAAATACCGGACCGGGGTGGGGGGTGGGGAAATCAATGCAAGAAGGTAAACATTATCACGAGAAATGTGGCATCGTCCTGGAATTTGCGCTAGCTTTTTTGAAACGTGCAGCTGCGTAAATAAAGAAGTGTCCTCATCTCAGGATTAACTGATCAGGTTCGGTGATGGATTTGTTGCTATAGTTCCCACAAGAATTTGTCCTGGCATGGAGGCTTGGCAAAACAGAAAAATAAAATTAAAAAGCTTTCTGCGCCGCGGAGTCCCTGTTGTGTGGGTTGGGGTGAGAGACATGAGCCGCACTGGGTACCTGCCACGCTGTGCGTGCCGCAGAGCTGGTTTCTGTGCCAGCTTACGCGGGAGCGACGTGGAAGATCCTGCGGCGCGTGGGCAGAGGCGTCCATGATCGGCCTCGGAGCGATGGGCTTCTCCTGGCTCTGCAGCTGGCTGCCGGCGAGCATGGGGACGGAGCCTAGCCCGTCTGCGAGCCCGGCTTGGTTTCCTTTCTCACACTTCAGCCATGTAAATGCTAAGTCTAATTCGCAGGCTTTGGGAGAATTGAACTTTATTTTTAGAGGCATGAACTTGGGTGGCATTTTCAGAAGTACTGGATACTGGGCGAACTTGGCTGCCACCAAAGACAGGGATAGCCCTGTCGTGGATGTTAGAGGCGACTGAGTTAGGACTGAGTATACTCCTTTGTAAACCCCAATCCTTCCTCTGCAGAGCTTTTCTTACATTTTATTTTGCTTTTTATACATTTTTTTTATTTCTGTACTTTGCTGGAAATTCTGTTTTGTGATGGAATATAGCTAGAATTTTTGGTGTAAATGGATGTCTCTTAAACTAGGAACTAACAGAACTGTGAGCACCCTCTCGTGGGTTCTGGCGGTATTACAGTATCTTCCCCCCTGTGATGCCAAATCTATCTTTTTTCGATGCATTTAAGTATAATTTTCAGATTTTAATATATTAAATTAGAGGAGAGCTCTTGAAGCTTCTAAAAAGTGCTTGAGGTTGCAAAATTTACAGAGGTCTAGATCAGAGAATCTATCATAAACAATTAATATTTAAAAGGTGTGGAATAAGTATTAAATTCATATGAAGAACTTTAAATTTATCCTATTTTGTATCAGGCTTTTATCCAGCATAATACCTTGTCTTTTAGACAACAGTGCTCAAAAATGAGTGGATAGTTTGTCTCTTTTGGAAGACAGAGATAATATGGAATAATTTGTGTAACTATGGGAGATTGTGAATTTCATATTTAGTGTATGTTGTATTTATACTGGTTTTTTTAGCTGTGAGCATCTCTGTCCAAAAAAATAGTAGTTCCTTGCTGTTTGGGCTCTGCTGCCGTCCACTGTTAGAACAGCAGAATTACCTGCCCAGACCGATTCTGGCAATTACGTACATCCGCAATGAAATGGCTTTGAATGAAGCTAACTACTACATTACCTTTTTGTGCCTTCATAAAAATAATTAGAAACCTGAACAGCAGGTGCTGTTTTTCTAGAGTGATTAATGTTTTTGGGCTTTAAGAAGCAAGTTATCCTGAGGATTCGTTTCTGTAGGTAAACATGCAGTGTCCTCAAGCATTAAGCATCCTTTCACCTTTCCGTATCCATTTGAACAATTAGAAATGCTCTCATTTAAGAAGCATCTCCATTAAGCTTCTCTCCAGAGCTCTTCCAGTTGGCTCCTTCAGCACTTCACAGGTTTGGGCTGTCGTTTTCTCAGCAGCTTGAGGCAAGACCGGTTCCTTCCCGCATGCCTTGTGCGGAGCCGGCTGGGTGGCTGTGAAAGATGCCAGCAGGCGAGTGGAGGAGCCCGGCAGCTGCCAGCTGGCCCCTCCGTGCTCATCGCAACTGCGCCAGGGCTCGGCCGCCCGTCGAGTGTGCCAGCTCTCAGCCCACGCTCCTCTTCCCCTGCGCTGGCAGACAGGAACTTCTGTCGGGTGGTTGGAACTGGGAGAACTGGTTTCCGTTGCAGTACAATGTTAAGGCGGCATGGATTTGCATGGCCTCTGGGTGTCTGCTCTGTTAGCAGGGTATACAGCCCCGCTTTTCAAAAATTTCTGGTGTTAGGTTTTTTAACTTGTAAAAGCTTCCCCTCTCCCCACCTGTTTTAAGGCTAGATATTTATGAATGGAGAGAAGTCTGTCCTACGCTTACCTTCCAAGTAAGTGAAATTTGGATTTCAGTTTATTTTCTTGAAGCCTGCTGTCCCACTTGCTCTCCCCACCTTTGCTGACACCGCTTGCCGGAGCACCCAACCAGTCATCTTTCAGCAAAGGTGGATTATTGCCTGAAATTATCAACAGGTGCTACGGCACGTAATGCACTCATACAGTCTAAAGGAAGAGTTTGAAGTGATACTATTATGGGTAAATTAGATGTATGAAGTGATGCGCTGAAATTAATGCCTTGATCTGTGATTTCATTTGTTCCAGGATGGCGTTCTTTCTGGAGGAGGTGATGACTTGCACCAAGCGTCTCCTGGAGGTGATATCTGGCTGGCTGCCTCGACATTTTTTCGGTGCAATCCTGGTTTCTCTCCCAGCTCTTGCAGTTTTTTCACACTTCACCTCTGATTTTGAAACAAATATACATGTAAGTTGTCGAACTCTGTTTCATAATCTGACATTTTGGATCTAACAAAGCTTGTTGCTTGCCTGCCGTCTTCCTTCACCTCCCTCGTGCTTTGCATCTGTTTGATACAGATCTCGTAGACGGATAGGGCTTTTGTGTATGATGAAATGCCTAGTTTGTTATGTAAATACAGCCACCTGCTTATTTGAAAACTCTCATACAAAAGAGGAGAGGAATACCTATAAATGCCTGCCTAAATATATTCTTTTTTTTTTCTTAGACCAAACATGTATGCAGGTGTTTATTCTAGATAATGCAAGTAGCGTATCTCAGGCTTTTCACTGCATTCGTTCTGATTTTGATTTAGAGTTGGTAGTCAGAGATGCTGTGTATACTTAAAAACTTTGCATGCACATTAGTGAATCTCAACAGCAAGAACTGTGTTAGCGGTGGATGTTTTTTCTTTGTGGAGTTAGATGGGGAAACTCAAGGAGAGAGCTCTAAGTACATGGAAATGATTACCCTGCAGAGGCTGCGGGAATGGTTAAAAGAATGCAATAGCTGCCTGCTGAAAAGGAACGGAAAGAACTTGGCATATTTAGCCCAGCCACAGAAAGATCCACAGAGGATTTCGTGCCTCCTTTGATAAAAACATTCAGAACAGGCGGAACAAGGAGTTAAATATTGAGAAGGGGGAAGAACAGTTTAATTTAGAGGCTAACTGTAGCATAAAGTCAGTGCTGAAAGACTGTGAATAAAATGGACTGGAGCCAGAGGTGGAAGTTTTGTTTCTCTGCAGGTTTCTATTAGGTAGCACAGTGAACAGCCCTGCCTTTCCAGGATCATCAGGGAATTCTGTTTCACAAATCTCATGCTATTTCAGGGCCCTGAGTGTAGGTAACGGCCAGATCCTCTTCATTCTTCCTATCACAGTTTATTACTAGATGTTGGGAAGTGTTTGTGGAACGTGTGGACCAGACATTTTTTGGTCCTTTCTGATCTAAACATACATTCCGTGGTTATCGCAGTCACAGAAGACTGTATTTGATATTCTTTGACATCCCATGTTTAAAATAATTCTGCAGCTTTTGCCTGTTGTGAACTTTAGTTAACTATTTTTAAACTGGAGATTTTTTTTTTTTTCAGTTTAATGATGGTCTTCCTCCCTCATGACTAGCAGTAAACTAATTATAGGAATGGTTTCCTCACACTGAAGGGAAACTGAAAACCTTCAAATCTCTCAAATCTGTGCGTTGATTTTTGTGTCATCCCAGTCATCACCATCCTTGATCATCTCTCCAAACTTTTTAAAAAAATGTTGGAAGAACCATTGTACTAGCGTATTCTCGATACCTGTTCAGACCAGATGTTAGTCTAAGCGCTTCAGGCAGCGGCAGTAGGGTGGTGGTGTCCATCACCAAGCTGAGAATGAAAGTTGCTTTCTTTCCTCTTGCAGGTCCTCCAGAGTCGTGGGGTTGTTGGCTCACTCTCCAAGAGATGTCCCAACTCGTCTTGTGCTCAGTGTTTCAACAGTCATGGAGCTCTAGGAAATGGAGTCAGTCTATAGAGGGTCGGGTAAGTGTCGTATTTTACTATGACATGGTTTTGCGAAGTTTTTTTTTATTCATAGCATTTTATACCCTCCCTGGATATAAAATAATTAAAATCAAAATTAACAAAAACAGAAATGAAAAAAAACTTTCCAAAGCCATGCGTACATAGTAAAACACAGCACTTACTGACCCTCTGTAGGCTGGCTTCGTGCTGGGGCATCACTTGGAGTGAGAACCAGTGCTCTGCCACTTTAGGAGACCTGAAATGGGGGAAAAAACGTAAGTTTAAATCATGGTTTTTTATGGACACTTCTGAAATTCCTTTTATCCATTTTTGAGTCATTTGAAAAAACAGCAACTGTGCTTGTGGTTTAAAAATGGTAAATTATGTAATGTTTTTTCCCATACACTGTGTCTACTTCTGAATCACATGCTTATTTGTTATGCTTCAGTGTTGCTAATCTGCAGTCTCTGCGCTTCAGCTGTAAAGGAAATTGAAAGTGAGAGGGAAGGGGAGAGAATGATCATCTGATACTGTAAAATGCAGTATATAGCTAGAACAGAATGCCATAATGCTATTGTGGAGTCTCTGTTTTAGCTTGGATGGAATGAATATTCTTCATAAAACCAAAATCTGCTCATCAGCTTGAACGCTGTGACCACTCTAAGATTGTATCTTAGGGAAGTGAAGGCATTCTAGGGGATATATCCATCCTGGCCTGCCTTTTCTGGATCTAGTAAAGATGTGGATAGGGAAAGGTTTGGGGGTGTTTTTTGAGATGGAGCATTTGGAACAGAAAATCTACAATTGTCCTTTCAAATTGGCACAAGTGGTGGCGTTACAGAGCATCAGTTGACAATGACTGGTACCTGCCTTTTGTTATCAAAACAGATCATCTTCGTTTTTGCGTTCACTTGCTGCTGGCTAGTACAACTCTATCCTCTAAGCAGTGTTTTTAAGGGTAGCCAGTTGGGTGAAGTTTCCGAGGGTGAATGTGTTCCTCGTTTTCAATGCAGTGGAATTTTGACATGCAATTTAAAACAGACAGGGTCTAAACCCAGCAATTGAAAGGAGATTACCATGAATGTTTACCTCTTCCCCCCTCCCCTTTTCTTTTCCGTCCCTTTTTTTTCTCTAATAAGAAGAGGCACTGAGCTTTTGGCAAAGGTAAGCTGAAGGTATTGAAGGTTACTGAAATAACAGTTGTGTAGACTAATACAGAACTCCATCTAGGGAAAACTGTAACAAACTACCTGTGCTATAAGTTTTCTTGCTCTTTGAAGGGAAGACCTCCATCTTCAAGTGCTGTCTCCTGATGCAGACACTGTGAGGGATTACTCACTGTGCATATAATACAGACAAAATTAGATCCTTCTCTTTCGTATCACACATTCGTTAATTTACGCTGGCATTTATGTGCAGAAGGGCTCCAGGCAGCGAGAAGAAGCTAACTCGCACTCTCTCTCTTTGTTGCAGTACACCATGTTTATGTGTTGCGCGATTCTGATCACCATTGTGCAGTACTGTAACTTCTGCCAGCTTAGCTCCTGGATGAGATCCCTGTTGGCAACCGTCGTAGGAGCAGTGCTTCTCATTCTGCTCTACGTCTCCTTGTGTCCAGACAGGTGAGCATCACACCTTTGCGCTCATAGACCGTGCGTTGGATGAACAAATTTGGTTTTCTTCGCCAGCGAAGTGAGGGTCTGATGCATGGGGTTTTGGTATCTGCCATGAATTACTGCAGCATCTCAAACTTAATAATTTTATCTGGGAAGAGTTCTGCTTTTTTTTTTTTTTTTTTTTTTTTTCAGGACGGTATCTGAGGGGCCCTTTCCTGTAATCTGTTTTGAAATGACGCTCAGTCCTCAACTGATGTGTTTCTAGGGCACACTTGTTCTTATCCAACCCATAGAATTGCGTTTCACCATTTGTTTGAAAATCTATTTTATTAAGAAATTTCTGAGGCATTTGGTGGTACCAGAGAGCCCAGTTGTTCCCCAGCACCCCTCTGGATTGATTTCTGCCCTTGCGAACCATGTGTCTTTCTTCCACCTCCCTCGTCAAAGAGTTTACCACTGTGGAAGGCAGGTGCTTAGATTTAATAGGATTCTTATACTCTGTTTCCTTTCTCACTTTCCTGCATTTTCAGAGGATGCTGCAAGACAGTAACCAGAGGAACGAAATTAATGCCGTTTGTGTGCAATAGCTTGAAGGCTTTTCAGTTTCTCCTCTGATAAGCAATTTTCCCCATAGGAGAACTTGTTTGCGGTATTCTCCGTGTAGTTTCTTGCCGAGAGTCAAGGGAGTCCTTCCAGCCATCACTCCTATTGTCAAAATTTTATAATCAACTTGCACTTCTCAGTGCCCTTGGCACTCTGACCATACCATGGGCTTTGCAAGGACTTCTTATGACAGATTATTCTAGTTCCTCTCAAACGCCCTTCCTTTTACCGTTCTTCAGAGGCCTGCTGAAGCATATGGTGAAAAACATGAAAAAAACCCAAACGAACCAAAAAGAGTTTGCGGATATGTGTTTTGTATGAGTGTTTAGCTTTTAATTCCCTTTTTGAGTATCTTCAGTGGTCTCTTCCAATTTTGATCTAATTTATATAAAAAAAGACAGAATAAAGTCACCCCCTAACACCTGTTCACATCTGTAATTTGGAAGTAGCTGTAAGGGTTGTAGGAAGAAAGTCTTTCCTTGGAGAAAAACCAACTTGGAACTGAAATCAATTGACAAATAGTTTCTAAATAGTATTAGACTAAAGAAAAATCCTTTTCTTGTCTCTGCAGAGTGCTCAGGTGAGGAGTGCGGGACAGTTCTTTCTAGCTTCAGTGGAGGGATGTAGTGTTTATTTTCTGGACGCCTTCTCTTTCTCATCTTTGATTTGTCCCTTTGGTTTTTGTTGTCCAGCTCCTCCAGCACACTGAGCGAGCCTCTCCCAGTGAGAAAGCTGACTTTCCACCTGTTGGCTTTTTCCCTTGCAACATTGACACTCACTGTCCAACCACCGGCTTCACTGAGAAGTTAGCCCGAGGTTTGATTTCTCAGGGAAGTTAGTGAAGAGCAAACCCTTGATGCCTTTTCCTGACTCCCTGGCTTCTCTTCTGCAGTTCCCCCCAAGCAGGGGTTCTTGCAGCTCATTCAGCTACATGCGTGCTAGTGTGTCTGCATGGAGCTAGCGTGGCGTAACTGGATGCTGGTTCGCAGCAGAGCCGTTTAAAATAGAGTAATACAATGTACTTGTAGTACCAGAAGTCTTCATATGAAAGCAAGCAGTGAAGCTGAAGCATGAGGAAGGAATGGTAGTGACAGACATTCCCTGGAGTGACTGCATCCATGTCCAAGGCATTTTGTTGCAGAAGAAAGTCGCAAGTTTTGGTGCCATAAATGTAACTCCTAATTCCTTATTCAAAGACAAAACTTTAGAACAAATTATAGGTGTGATTGCTAAATCAGCTTGTGCGTAAGCTCTGTATTAAGACTTTGTGCAGAAAGAAAAACACATAACTTGGGATTTTCCCTGCATTTCAACTATATTAAGGGAGTGGGGAAGGCTGTTCCTGAGAAGTGGAAACCTTGCTATTGTGTCAGTTCATACCATCAACTTCTGCTGACTGCTGAAGGGGTGATATGAATGTTAAAGAAACAATATCTTGAGAAATTTTGCTAATGATAGCATATTTTCGCCTGCGATTTGAATAGTGGTGACCATTAATGGACAAAGTGGAGAAATCATGGAATATGTTGTTATTTCATCTTTTAAAAATAAATATTTAAAGCAATAATCAGAGCTGTTCAGCTGCAGATCTCAAAAAGTGATTTATAGAACTGATCATGAACAAAAATAATACAGGTTGAGTTAGTGAGACCCATATATTTTTTTGTTCCTCTTATCGTTAGTGTGGATAATACTTTTTGTCACAGAGGTAATTGCAGCATTGTATGCACCACAGGTAAATCCACTCTGCAGATTTCTTTACATCTTTATCTGAAAGTAACTAGTCCTGAGAGTTGTAATACTTGATTGTGGGAGAGACATTGTAATGCAGGTAAACACAAAAATTGCTTTAACTGCTTACTTACTTTCTCTAATGGCATTTTCAAAAATAGGCTCTATGTTTGTTTGGCAGTTTTTTGTTTTGGGGAGGGTTGGGGGTTTGGTTTTTGTTTTATTTTTCTAAGTCTTTTTACCCTGTGGTCAGATAAGATGAAGGCATAACTGAGTTTTAGAGTTCTGAAATTGCTTTTCCATGTTTCCGAGGTAAGATGGGATTGTTTAACAATTCCTCGTTCCAGGCATTGTCTTGGCTGCATTATCATCAGCTACCCTTTAGCGATGTTTGCATCTCTGTATCTGACTGTGGTTGCTTCTTCCAAGCAGAAAGCGCAGATAAGTCACGTTCAAGCAAAGGTTGTCTGAAGCCGATCGAGCGTGCAGTGCAATTATTGGCCCTATGGTCTACAGAATAGAAAAGTTGGAAATGCAAACCGAAACTGTGGCAGAATGTTTTAACTTCCCTTCTGATATCAGTGCTTTTTTATTGCAGCTCCGTGGAAACTTTTCATCTAGATTTGGCACAGAACTTTAGGTAAGCTCTATATAAAGTTACTATCTTTATGTTCAGGGGTAAAACATTTTCAGTCAATTATGTGTAGCGAAATTTTACATCCACAGTAACACACTTGGGAATTCAACAGCTGGGTTCAGCAAGTTGTGTCGAAGCTCCTTGTGTACATAATTTCCTTTATAGAGGACTTGGGTGTGACCAAAAAAATCATCAGAGAGCTGATGCTGCAGTGACAGCATTGTGTAATACGATTTTCTTTTTAAATTTGATTTCTAGGAAATGGAACTATGGAGCAGCTCTATGAAATAGCATCTGTTTTTCTAGTAATAGCAGTTTTTAAAGCATTGTCTGTACACCAGGAGCTATTTATTTGATTTCCTTGGTTGATGTGCAGCATTCAGGAGTGTGCTGAGTTGGGTGCTGTCCACAGCTGGCCAGGTGAGACTTCCCAGTGGTAGAGGATGTTCAGCTGAAAAAGCTGGCTGTGAAGCCCTCACCGGGACGGAGACAGGCTGGCGATGACGGTCTGGGTACTGTCTGCCACCCTGAGCTCGCGTCGGCAGAAACAGCAAGTCCTATCATCAGGAGCAATGGAAATTTTAGCCCTGGCCTTTCAAACAAACAAAAATAAATCTTTTCCTGGCTTGTTAATAGCCCCTTATAAATAAACATGTGAAAGATTCACTCTGATTATTTCGGTGTTGAATTTCTCATGATTTTATTGCAAGTTTTGCAATGCCATTTTTGGTGTTTTTGTTGGTCTTTGGTATTAGAAAAGTACATGTTTGCTAATTACAAATTTGGGAGCAATACGGGGGCAATGTTGTACTTCGTTGAACTAAATGACCCTGTGAATATGAGACTCAGTAACTTACCTGAACAAATGTGTGTCAGGAGCAGGTTGCTTTTACTGGGAGTACGTGTCAAAACAAAATGACTTTTTAAAAAATATCGTCCACATGAATGCGATGGTAGTTTAGAAAATGTGTGGCTTTTAAGTACGGAGAGGGTAACTGTGCTTTCGTGTTAGATATTTATTCACCAAGGAGTTAGCCCTTACTGCAGTGCTGGGTTTGGAGTTTTGGCTTGGATTTTTTTTTGCATGGGTTTTCCTTTTTGTATGACTTTGATTCATGAAAGATAACTTCATTTTCACAACAGAATTCCAGTTCACTAAATCCAGAATGGAAAGTTAAATCCAAAAGAACAGAGGTGGCTGGATTTTTTTGTAAACTAAAACACTGGAGGGAATTTGCTGAAAAGACAAAGCCTGGTGATCTCTGGAAGTCAGGTCTTGGGATTAGCTGGAGTTTGGATCCTTAGTGGTTTGTTAGTAGTTTGTGAAATTGCCGAACCTTTTGTGCTGCTCAGGATTACAGATGTCTTGCCCAGCACTGAAACAGCTTAGCAGGCTCTTGACCAGCTGCTAATCACTAATACATAATTCATTCTGCCTTAAATAATTGACAGCCCAGTCTTCCGTTCAGTGACTATCTCTGCATCATCATTTATTTTAAATCTGGCAAAAAATTAGCTATCAAGCATTGTTTGCATGCGAATGTTTTTCTTTCATAAATACATCATAGAACTTCGAACTCAGGGCAGATAAAGGTGAAAGTGGAGAAGAAACCAAAGGGGGCAGGTGATGTTATTGCAGACAGACGTGGAGCACTCTCTGCCTGCTTTGCAAATCCTTGCTTGTGATTCAAATACCAAATAAGGCTGTGACCAAGACATCTGGCTTGTTAAACATTTCTAAACTTCATTTTAAATGTTTTATTATGAGATGTACTAGATTTGCGGTTTGACTGCCATTCCTTCAGCTGGGAAGAAAGTGCCGCTGTGTCGTGCACGCGTCATCGCGACGTAGCGCGGCCCTTTCTGCGTGTCGCAGCAGTTCTGCCAGGTTGGTTGGTCACGGTCTCTGTTGTATGCAGGGACCGTGTCAGTCGGGCATGATCTCTGTTAACAGTCCGCACTCCCCTGATCTGAAGCTGTCCAAACCCATAAATTGATGCAGCGTTTTTGTGCGTTGGAAGTTAAAAGAGAGTTAATCCTGTTCTGTTTCTACTATTAATTTGCCACAGAATTTGGCATCTCTTTTCAGGGCTCTTTCAATGCACATTATTGAAATTTTCCTTTCTCACTGAAATAAATAAATAAGGCTCCTTGCTCACCCCAGTTGCACAAAAGCTTTTCCTGTGTTCTAAGAGGGCCAAGCAAACTTTAATGAGGTTATTCCCTTTTCTTGATCAAGAATTGAGATAATTAATATTGCATGGGAAGAGAGATATTAGTAGTGGTAATGAAGTCTTAGCACAAAGTTCATCTCTGGACTATCCATGCTATGCTCAATAAATCCAAGTATGGAATTTGCCCTGTTTTCCAAACAGGCTGGTTCTTCAGCCCAAAAGAGATATGAACATAAGCTTTGTCTTTTAAGCAGGAAATGTTTCTTGTTTTCATTAATTTCTTAGAGCAGGTAGGGTGTATCATTTTCCAGTTTATGACTGCTTGAGGGGGAACAGTGATAGGCCACTTGAGGTGGAAGACTAAAAGTGCTTGATGGTAGGGGTTTTTTTTAACATGCATCCACTGTGTGTTCTTCGATGAAAGCAGCTGTTTGATTGCCCCTTTCCACACTGTTCCGCCATTGCATTCTTTTTTAAGATATAGTGGCATGCATCCTCTTTAAATATGGCAAGATCTCCAAATCCAAACGTAAGTTACTGGCTCAGAAGCAAAATGGTTTTCCAAAAATCTTTGTAAGTGGAAAGCCATTATCTTTATGATTTGTGATCAAGCCAAAGGAGATTCTATCTCCAGAGCTCTCACTTGTTCCATATTCAACACACAGCCTGGATGAATATGCCAAGTTAATAGTTGAGCGTCTGTGCCAGGAAGCACTTCACCAGTTTGAGTTAAAGGAACATTGTCGGCTAAAGATTTCAATTGGAATGATTTTTCTGCCACAGCACCTCATAAAGAGTAGAGCTTCAGAAGATCTGGGGGGGTGTGATCCTTTCGGTTATAGGCGTGTGGGGTTTTTGCTTTTCATTCTGAAGGGTAGCTTCGGGTCGTCCTTGCTAACTACTGTGTGAGATGATTTATAGTCCTGTAGGTCCTGTAACCTGGTCACTGCAATGTCCAGAAATTTGATTTCCAAATGAGTGAGATGTAATTGCTCCCTCCTTCAGGTTGGCATTGTGGCTTTTTGTACTAGTGCTTGTAGCAGTCGCATCGTGATTAATAATGCTTGCTCTGAAAAAGATTCTGTGCTTTCTTTTTTAAGATACTAACCCATTACCTTATTAATGAAATCAGGTCAGCTTACAAGTGAGTCACTCATTTCACACGCAGATCTCTGAGGTTGTACGCCCACGTGGGAAACAAGGTCAGGCCAGCACTTCAGGAGATGATTGAGAGCTCGCAGATGCCAGTGCTTCAGGAGCGGTGAATGGGAGGCAGCAGGTTTTGTTTAAAAGGCAGATCTTGCGTTCAGCATGAGCCACTTCTTGCAACGTAAAATTTGTGGTGCTTGCCTAATTCATTTAAGAGGAATTAAGGTACTTTGAGGAATATTTTGTACAATAAACTGTAAATAAAAAGCCTTTAATGACTTAAATAAATCCCTGTGGCAGGGATGTTTGATGTTAGCGCAGATTATCTGGATCAAACTCATACTCTCAAAGGAGTACCATGTCATTGCTCAGATCCTCTAGCAGATCTCTTCCCACAAGATAATGGAAAATAATGGACTCTTCTGAAAAGAACCTGAATCGTGCTCCTTAACCGAGATTTATTCCTCATCTTCTCCAGCCTTATTTGTTCTTCAAGATCTTTTCTCTTACTTCTCCTTCCCTTGTTTTGTTTTATAAGCCCATCAAACTGGGAGGATATTCTGGCACCTGCAAAATAGGTAGCAAGGATTGTATTTCAGGATTTGTTACCATTCTACTCATTAAAGACTTAGGCTTTGACTTAGTCTCTGACTTGCCTTTCTAGGAGAAAATGAATAGATTCATGACAGAGGTTCTGTTGAGAAAAGTAGTTGTAAGGGAGGAAGGAGGGAGTCTTAATACCGCAAGGCACCAGCAATTACGGGAACCTGATTGTAGGGACCTGTTCTGAGAGCTGGGAGTAACCTCCTCCTTGCATTCTTCCCTTGTGCTTTTTTTAATATCAAATCAATAAAATTAATATACCTTCACTTCTTCTGGGACAAGTATACTTATGGCTGAAAACAAAAGGAGTGATTTCCAACATAATACGCAGTCTTAGCTTTAATCTGAAATTCAACCTGTAAACTCTCTATTGTAAATATTTTACTTGTGGGAAACTTTTTCTCTTACTAAAAACTAATAGATACAAACAAAGACCATAGCGCATGCAAATGTTTTCAGAGATTGTGCGCATTCACTCATTTCACAGCTGTGCTGTGTTTTTGCTTCTTCACACTTTTCTGTCGATCAGGTATTTGAGAATGAACATTCAGAAAAAGACACTGGGACCATAATCTAGCTCAGTTACTAAAACGTGTGCTTTCATTTCAGAAGTGGAAGCATGTGCCCCATGGACATAAAGAAACAAATCGAACTCAGAAATACAGAAGAAAATTCAGTCATCTCTTCTTGAGCTGTTTATGCAGTTGTGCTTTGAGTTTTAATCTCTTACGCTAACATACCTTCAGAAGAGAAATACAGACGTACACCAGGATACAAATGGCCTTTGTTTTTCAAGGAGAAGGGCTGATGTGAAGCTTTCCCGTATCAAACCATCTCTTAACTTGAAAAACTTTGGCATGTGTCTGCTCATGTCAAATCTTACGCTTTGGCATAGTTTTAGAGAAAAAAATGCAGTTAAGCGACTCCAGAAATCACTGCATGCCAATCTGTCTGGGTTTGGGCTTGGTTTCTAGGATTGCATAGGTGGTGTCTTCTCAGATTGAATTGGTGTCTTTGCATCTCTCCAGAAAGCTGAGATTGTAGACTGCAGATGTCTCCTTGTTAAGGGTGGTTTGGCATCGGAAGCATCCTCCCTCAGTGCCTCATAATCTGCACAGGCATCGACAAATTGTCAAAAGGATTTGAAATATTACTCTCAATCTATGAGAGACATGACACTTTTTTTTTTTTTTAAATCTTGGCACTTTGAGAAACTTTCTGTCTCCACCATAAAAAGCTTCGGTGGTTATAATGTACAAAGGATGTCAACCCAGAGCTCCGTATCCTCTGCTTTCGTGCAGGAGACGTGCAGTTCTCCATGAAGTGTCTGGTACAAGGTAGTCTTCTTCCAAAACCTTTAAGCATTAACGTTAAAGGCACGCTGCAAAGGGTACTGGTCTTTGATGAGGAGACAAGGGAAAAGCTCTAGGAGTATATAAAGCAGATGTTTCTGAATACTGGAGGTAATACAAAAAAAGATAAAAATCCACAAAACTTACACACCCCTCCTGTACGGATACACATGTGCGCGCATATACTGGAACACACGCAGGCATTATTAAGCATTTTTATATACCTGTTTACATGCCGTGCTTTGAGTTATATATTTAGATATAAGGATAACGGTTTCCTTGGTGAAGTCCTGGAAATAGGACTGCCGTAAAGGCTGGGCAATTTGTGTGTTGCTGAACCTGACGATATCCCTTTAAGGAAGTACTTGAGTGAGTTTAGGAATGAAATTCGTTCTTTAGCATGCTTAACAGCAGATAAAGTGATTGAAGCCTATTTTATAAATTGGTATGTAATGCACACTTCCTACACTTTTTTGTAGAAAAGGATTTTGAACTGCGGAGCAAAGCGGCAGTGCCCTGACTCTGTGTTTTTAAATGCACCTGTGGTGTTCTTCCTTTTCTTTTGCTTCCAGCTCCAGAAAGAGTCCGTGCAACAGCTCAGTGCCAAATGACACAAAGAGGCCGGCGGACCTGATCGGTCAGGAAGTGATTCTGGTTTCCTTCCTTCTGCTTCTCCTTGTCTGGTTTCTGAATCGAGAGTTTGAGGTCAGTTACCGCTTGCACTACCATGGAGATGTGGAGGCTGATCTTCATCGCACCAAAATTCAGAGCATGAGGGATCAAGCTGACTGGTTGCTGAGGAATATTATTCCATACCATGTGGCTGAGCAGCTGAAGGTTTCCCAGAGCTATTCCAAAAACCATGACAGCGGCGGCGTCATCTTTGCAAGTATTGTGAACTTCAGCGAGTTCTATGAAGAGAACTATGAAGGAGGCAAAGAGTGCTACAGAGTCCTGAATGAGCTGATTGGGGATTTTGATGAGCTGCTGAGCAAACCGCACTACAGCAGCATTGAGAAAATCAAAACAATTGGGGCAACCTACATGGCCGCTTCGGGACTGAACACCTCGCAGTGTCAGGACAGCAACCATCCCCAAGGGCATTTGCAGACCCTTTTTGAATTTGCCAAAGAAATGATGCGAGTGGTGGATGACTTCAACAACAACATGCTGTGGTTTAATTTTAAACTTAGGATTGGCTTTAACCACGGCCCCCTCACTGCTGGGGTCATTGGCACCACCAAGTTGTTGTACGACATTTGGGGTGACACTGTGAACATTGCTAGCAGGATGGACACCACTGGCGTCGAGTGTCGCATACAGGTGAGTGAGGAGAGCTACCGCATCCTCAACAAGATGGGGTATGACTTTGACTATAGGGGGACAGTCAATGTGAAGGGGAAAGGTCAGATGAAGACCTACCTTTACCCAAAATGCATGGACAATGGGATCGTGCCACATCACCAGTTGTCTATATCTCCAGACATTCGGGTTCAAGTGGATGGCAGCATTGGGCGATCTCCGACGGATGAGATTGCCAACCTGGTGCCTTCTGTACAGAATTCTGATAAGATAGCCCATGGCACAGATAACCCAGAAACCAAGGACATCCTTCCTTCCACCAAGAAGCTCCAGAAAGATGCGGTGAGAGCAGAGGAGTGGGGCAGGTTTGGCAAAGCTGTGGAGAAGACTGACTGTGAGGAAGCGGGAACTGAGGAGGTCAATGAACTGACAAAGCTAAATATCTCTAAGAGTGTATGATGCACTGTCGGAGTTGCATGAAGTGCTCTGTCAATAGAAACACAAAGACATTTGCAATTGGCAGTTTTCTTTTTCAAGAGAGACCTTCTCAACACCTGGGTTGTACGTTTGTTTTCATTTCGGCACCTGATGCTGTGTGGATCACAGCTCTTCAGGGTTCGTTTTCACCCATCTCTCTCCTCCATGCCCCAGATCACATCCCAGGCTCCCCAGCTCCCTGTGCAGCCATCTTACAGCTGAGTAGAGGATATTAAGTGCCTTCAGATATACTCCATTGGACTCCCTGTCAAGGTACAGAGGCCCCAAGTGAAATCATAGCTTTGGGTATTTATCTAATTTTAAGGAAGAGAAAAGCTGTGGTTATATCATTTTTATTGTTTCTCACAAAACACTTTTTTTGGCTAATGCAACTCCTTGGGTTTTTTATATCTCTCTGAACAATGTTTTACTGTTATCAGACCTTTTGTATGTAAACACACAGACAAATGTGCATGTATCTACCATATGAGACTGACATAAAGTGCCAGTAAAGTACCACGAAGGAATGTCTTGGCGAGGGGGTGACACAATTTGACTTTGTGTTGGGCTGGAGGAGGAGTTCTGCAGTGGCTCAACATTTAGTTAGAGTAGGCTGAACAACTGCTGTAGTTTTATTCTCCTTTACCAATGCTTTCTTCGACCTTAATGTGCCGTTGTGTGCTTTGGATACACTTCTTTTCCATATAGCCAATGAGTTACTGACCCGTGAGAATGGAATAAGGGTTCGGACTTCACCGGCTCTCAGGACAGGTTTCCAGAAGCAGAGGAGTGACCACGAGAGTGTTACAATTCAGGTCTTAAGAGTCTAAAGCAGTTTCATGTTACTCCGTTGCCTAGCTGAATTTGCGAAGGTAGGTGAAGTTGGTATCTCTGAGCTGCTCTGGTTTGAGAGAGAGAGAAAAGCAAAATAAATGTTTTGGGAATGCCTTTTATTTATTTATTTATTTTTATTTCTTTTTTTTAATTTGTTTGGGGGTTTTTGTGTGCGTGTGTGGAAGGGATCGGGAGAGATGAATTGTTAATTGGTTTAATAAGAGTAATAAGATGGTGTTTCAGCCTCTTTGAACTACCAACCACTGTGAGGATGTTACCTAGGCAATATCTGTTTCAAAGCTGGTGAAACTTCTGAAGCCACCAAACGCAGTTGAGTACCCCAGCTTCCCTCTGTACTGAATCAATGGTGCTGCACAATATTTTTCAGGATTTTTCCCCCTACACTGTGCTTTTGCGGCAGGGAAGAGAACAGCATGCTCCCTGCGTGCCACTGAAAGCAGGAATAGGGAAAAATGTCCTTTCTAGTGAGCTGAGAAGCACAATAATTTCCCAGTCCTGCAGAGGACTCTGTGCAGGTCCCTGGGACCAGAGACCCACGGGAGCACAGGAACCTGCTTGTGCAGAGGGAACGGCAGGACGGGGGCCTTAGACTGTACCAGTTTGCATGCTTCCATCACCATCCACTGACGTTTGATGCCCTGCTTTGGGTAATACTAATTATTCAGCTATTCCAGTTCAGCAAACTCCTTGCGACACCAAATAAAGCGTAAGAATCTTTATGCCCGAAAGAAGTTCATTAGCTGGGGGAAGGCGGGTGAAATGCGATGCTGTGCTGTTGCGTATTGGTGTGGGGTTGAATTCTTTCTTTCTGTCTGAAGTCAGACTATATCGATGCTTCTTTTTATTCCCTGTGTGATTTTAGGAGTTTGAGGAATAAGTACATACATTGTGAAGTTCCTGTTCAGCTATTTGAGATCCATCTGCACTCCATGGTCAGCGTGGAGCCCTTGAAGCCTTTGTCAAATGTCAGCCTGTGAGATTTCTGGATCTCAGTTAGTCAAACAAGACTGAACGCGGTTGTCACAGAAGCTGCTGTTTACGCACGTCTAAATTGTGTTTGATAGGAAAGCTATTTAAAATTAATCCTACTTGCTCAATCTGCCAGCACACAAAAAAAACGGAATGCTTATCCCCATACCCTTCTGCCACCGATGCTGTAGCCTGCTTGGGGGCTACTCCTGGCGAGCAACAGTATGAGGCTTTTATCAGGGCACAGTTTTACAGCAGCCTTCCTTCTCCATATATTAAAACTTGTCCCCTTCCACCCCCCTCCCTGTAGTGGGTTGCACTTCCAACTTTCAGGTAGTAGAATTCTGCAATTACCTCTTGAATCCGACGAATGTATTCTTGAAACCATTTTTAGGGTTCTCGTTTGAGTTAAGCGCGTGTCAGTATTCCTTTTCTTACAGCAGAGAGTTAACGTGGTCCGGAATTGTTTACATGCCTTCTAGTGTTACATTAGCCTCTCAAAGCCATTCAAACCTTTCTCCCTTTCACTTCTTTCTCCTGGTTTTGTAGACAGCTCTACCCAGCATTTCTCTCTGGTCGAGCAGCAGTTTGCAGTGGCAGAGTTCAGCTGAGATGCGCCATCTTCTCTCTTGCCTGAGACACTGCACAAAGCCTAAACCTCCACCAGCAGCCGCCCTGCGCCCAGTGAGAGGTTTGTGCCCTGTGAGCAAACCTGAAAGGGGAGAGTGCTGGAGTAGGGCCCCGCACCCAGAGCACCTCCCTGCTCGTTGGTCAAGCAACACAACGCAGAATGCAAAAGCCTCATCCTCCAGCCTGTAAAGTCAGTGCCGTCGTGGTGTGGTGCTGCGGGAGCACTGTCAGTTTTCTGGTAACGTTAGAATGCCAGAAGAACCACCAGGGCCTCCTTTTTTGTTGGCGCTAAGCTAACAAAATGAGCGAGGACAGAAGCGTTAGCAGACTCTGAAGTCAAGGGCTGTTGTCTGCTCTGGGAACTGCCGGCGACGTTACTCTGCCTGAACTCCAAAGCTGGGAGAAGGGCCGTGCGGAGCTGAGTCGCCGTGGTGCCCCTGGTAGTGTATTGCCAGCAGCAAGCGTTTGGTGGCTGAGACCGCAGGTCTTCTCATGGAGGTTTTAAATCTGCTCTTTAATGCCGTGTAGTGACAAAATGGAGAGGCTAAGCTCTCCACGTATGGTTTGGATAGCGGGGCTTTCCCAGGCACAAGGAGCGAGGAGATACCCGTTTTCTGTTGTAAAACAGTGGGAGCAGAACCTTTACACCTTCCCTTTATGCCTCCGTAAAGATGTCCCAATACTTGCAAAAATAACTCTGGTGGCGTTTTTAATGGCATTGCGCGGTTCCGCGGTCCTCTCTGCGGCTGTGACACGTGTGTGCTGGTGGCAGGGGTTGATCAAAACTCGTTTCGTTAAAATACCTTTTGTGCTGTTCTGTTAGTGCCGCCACAATTCGAACGCGATGTGAAAGTTGGGGAGTTGGCCAGGTACCTGGAAGTGTGTTCTGTGAGCATAGTCCGTGCATTGCTGAGCTTCCTATTTTTAGGGTGTTTTAGTGATGACAATTTAAAAATTATCGGGGGGGGGGGCGTGTAGTAAAATTGCTGAATATTCGCGAGCCCCATGCTGCCCTCTGCCACAGTTCACTTGCAGGAGCTGCGTTAGAGCATAATGAGGAATACGCTGACTGTTTTCTGCAGCGGCGTCTGAATCTGCTGCTAGCACACAAAGATGCTTCTTTTTCTCCCGGCTTCTTCTGTGAGACAGATTTCTTATTCAAAACGAAGTAAGTGGCATTCCCAGTGATTTACTTCTGGCGTTTATAATTTTAGGGGAAAACAGGTTTGCCTGTTATTTCTCAGGGTTTGAGGTTGTTCCCCTGTGCTGGAGGTAACGCCAGTGCTGCGAGCAGGGCGGGACAGCATGTCCCAGTACAAAGCATGGGAGGATTTTTAAGATGGCAAAATGAGGGGGAAGAGGATGGACTCCCCAAGGGCTTTACGAAAAAACAAGTATTTGGATACTCTTCCTTCAGGGCTAATACACAGAAAGGGGGAGCCCAGTGCAAAAATGAACAGAGCTATAAACCAAACACTGTACCCGTACCAGCTTTTAGTTAAAGAAGAGCTTATTCTCGATTAAAGAGCCAAGCTTTTAGGGTATCTAGCATTTTTAAATTAACTCTAACCTGTTTCTAGAACTTTAATTCTGAATACAACAAAGTTGTTGCAAGGGAGCAGTTATTCACTTCACGTCTTTATTTTGCAACACCAGAAGAGGCTGAGAGCACCCGAGGGTGGTTATAATGTGATCAGCTGTGTAACTGTGCAGCTAGGGCTGGGGTTTTTGCCAAACTTAAAGACTGTGGCTGTTTTCTCCCTTCTTTCCTGCTGTGGGCTTGTTTGCTCGGCCTGGGTGGGATACCCGAGCGGTTCTTGCCTCCCTGCTCCTCACCTTCGCTAAACTGCGTCTTCCGTGCTGCACAGCAGTGCTTGAGCTGTGCTGCTGCCAGGTCGCAGCTTCAGGTGCTGCTTTCGCTGCTCTTCGCCTCTCTGTTTCCTGATGTAAAGGAGAAGAGTACATTTGGTTTGGTCTCTCGGCCCATTTGTGTGGTCACAGCTGCAGCTTTCTCCTCGTGGTGGTGTTAAGCTGCTGGACAGAAGATACAGAAGAGCAGCAGGCGCATCCCAGTAGTTCAATTTAAGAATTCCGTGGAGAAAAAAAACCCGACATTTTTCATCACACCAAAAATGGGAAGAAAGCTTTATTACCCCGAATTTTAGCAAGGGTGCAAAACAGAAGAGGGTAAGAAATAAAATCCAGTGTTTGTTGTCAGTGTTGGGATTCGCTGAAGCAGTGTTCCTTGAAGTCTTGTTTTAGTGAAATACTACAAAACTGCTAGAAATGCCCTAATTATTCATTGGTGTGGCTTTCCCAATGGCTGCAGATGTCGCAGGGGTGGTTGGACTGTAAAGTCAGAATGACTGAGCTCTGAGCACCCTGGGCTGGTGGAAGATGTCCCTGCTCATGGCAGGAGGGTTGGAACCAGATGATCTTTAAGGTCCCTTCCAACCCAAACCTTTCTATGATTCTATGATTCTATGATTTTCGTGTGGAAAGAGAAACAGTCCAGGCAGAGGGGCAGGGATCCCCCAGTGCCGCGGTGCTGCCACCTCGATGCCCAGCAGCTGTAAAAACCCAGC